TCTGTTGAGTATTTGGTTGCCAATGTGGTCTGAAGGTCGGTTGTTGAAATTGTGGTTGGAGTCCCATTGCCTGATGAGGTTGTTGTTGTCCGGGTCGTTGAAAGTGTTGCGTGGGTTGGTACATCCGCTGTGTTATTGATTTTTGGGCATATTGGTGATTTGCAGTTCTTTGCTGGGTCTGGAGTGGTTTCTTGGAGACTCGTGGGGGTCCAAACGTCCTTTGTAGATAACGGATATTGTTTTTTTCTTGGATGTACTGCATTGCTCTTGCCAAGTCTATTGGTTTCATTGCTCTTATGGTGGATCCCATGGGCTCTCGTAGTCCGTCTAGGAATGTTGTTAGAGCTTGTTGTTGGAAAAAGCTTTTCTTGCTGATCTTTATGTGTGTAATTTGATATAGTTTGATATTGTGTTTAGAAGTCCCATGACTTTTTCGTAAAAACGTTGTGGTGTTTCGTTCTGGTCTTGTCGCAGGTTTACCAAATCTCTTGTTGAGGAATTTTCATTCCGTTGGTCAGCGGAGTTTTGGATTAGAGTTCCTTTGATGCTGTCCCACTCACTACATCCATAAACTGAGATGACGTCTTTGGCTCTGCCTCGTAGCTTGTTGAGTAGTCCTCGTATCAATATATGGTTCTGAAAACAACCGGGGTCTTCAGTATTCCAATATTCGTTCAGAATCATTGTTGATACGTTGATGAATTGGTATAATTCATTTGGGCTTCCGTCGTATTCGGGTACAATCCAAAAATTCTTCAGGTCGAATTGTTTTGCCATGTTGATGGGATTTAAAGGTTGGTCAATTGTTGACTTGAAGGTGAATTTGGTGAAACTAAAGTAGGGGGGCGTAAAATAGTATTTGAAATTGATGAAGTTGAGTTCATTTGTGCTTACAGGATGACGATGATGGCTCGTTGCATATTCTGTCACCAAAAACTTATTTCTATGTAGATATTTCTTGACGGACGATAGTGAAGAGGTATTCTTGTCTACGACCGGAATTCTTCCTGGAGTACTTGCTTCTCGGTGGAACTTGGTTCGGGAGAATGGTGGATAAACGTTTGAGAATGACGAGGATCTTCTAAGAACTTTTCCACTATCCTATCGACTGCGCCAATTATATTTCTCGTTCACACAAAAGGGTTTTTTAAAACATTTCATTTGAACAGAGTAACAACTAATAACTATGAAATATAGGTACTGGCTATTACAAATCAATTGCACCTATTTATATATAAATTATTGCCGACTTTGCAGATATCAGCAAAATAATTGATGTCGTCTTCGGGTCATCGAACAATATCCTGCTGATGTAAGGGGTTATCGAACTGTAACTAGCGGTTGTCAATTACGAAGAACTATCAACTCTTCTTTGTGATTGTGAATCCACAATCAATGCAAGACCGCTAACTTATATTTCAGATGATGAGGAACTGAGAGCTCTTACTCCATCATGTTTTTTACAAGCACTCCCGAGAAATACCTGTTTTAGATACAATCGATAAAAAATATTTAATAAAAAGGTAGAGATACTTTCAACGATTGAGACAAAACTACAGAATACGCTTCAGGAATGAATATCTGGCAGATTTAGTGAATTCAGGTTCGCGAGAACAGCCATTCATTCAAGTGGGCGATGTTGTATTGCTAGAAGTAGATAATAAGAAGAGTGTGGATTGGCCATTAGCAAGAATTTTGGAGATTTCCCCATGCAGAGATAATATAATAACAGTAGCACGAATAAAAGTGAATAAAGGCGAACTAATTCGTCCTTTACAAAGATTAATAATTGCCTTGGAACTATCCACAGATGAAAGCATTGAGTTATCTAAACGAAATGAGGAAATAGTATCAACGTCCTGGAAAACATGAAGAAGATCAGACTACTGAAAGAAATACTGAAGAAGAAGAAAAGAAATCAGGAGGAAAAGAGAAAATGTTCAGAATAACGAAAAGTGGAAGAGTGAATTAATTTGCAAAAGGTGGGAGAATGTTGGAAATGAAAACTGTTCGTCCTCTATTCAGACTTTCATCGGAACGGTTGTCATGTGAATGAGTTGTTATGACAGGGACTTTTTAGAATCGTTATAATTAATTTTGGAATTGTCAAGTTATCATCAGAAAAGTTAATAAATAGTCTATTTTGCACTCGTATTACACCCAAGTTTTTCCCATTTCTTACAATCTTATTTATAAGTAAGTATATTTTTAGATTTCGAGGAAATGCCTCACCATACAAAGAATAATAACATAATCAAAACAAGTAGTTTGTAAACATCAATTTTTATTGAATGACGCTGATGGCAACAAAAAAAATTATACAAGATGGAGAAGTCGTTTCGTGAAAAGAATAATAAACCGAACAAATATGCCATCTATATTGGCGTGGTGAAAGATCAAGTGGAAACACTACTTGTTTTGATTATGTTATTATTCTTTGTACTATGGGGCATTTTCTCGAAATTTAAAAATGTACTTACTTATAAATAAAATGATGTCTTTGATTCCATTTGTCTTTGCTAACCTATAATTTGTTCATGTAATTTATAACTTTCATTGTCAAATAATCCATTGTGCATGGTTTTCCTTATTTTCAAGCTTTTTCAACACTTAAAATGATCATGATTGTGATCGAAATATGCATGTTTCTCTGATTCAATAATTGAATATATTCCCCCTTTTTGTGTGAAGACTTCGAGTTTACCTTTCTCTTCAAAACTTTATAGCTACTCCATTTTGAGTTATGGAGTATATCCGTCTATTGAACCCTGTATTTGATTGACAATCTCTCATTCCGTTGAATTTGACCCAGACATGCTCTCTTTTGAACTCTATAAAATGTTGATCGAGTGGTAAGGTTCATTAATTCTCGATTGAAACATACACACTGTTGAGTTTATTTCAATCGGTAGTCAAGTTCCGGCCTGAAACCATACAGAAAAGAAAAAAGTATTGGATGATTATCTTATTGTATAATGATTTATTTCATATATCATGTATAAACAATATTGTACCTCGGCACCTATGTATGTCATTATAATACAATAAGCCTCTTTGGTGATACAGTGAACAACATTTGAAAGCTTTCATGAAGGAGATATTTCTACAAAAAAGCTAGCCAGAATAAAATTATACTTCAACATCTAGGATAATTTATGGAATGGGAAAAATATGTGGTGATAAGATACATATTCATTGGAGGAATGAAGAACTATACAGAAATTTTCATTCAACTCCACCGGAATTATATTAGATTCATGATAAATATTTACAAAAAAAAATCTCGAACAAAACAATCTACCAGAACATTGAAAAAATGTTATGAATTTATTTAAGTCGAATTTGATTTTCAAGGTAATGGGATCGAATCAAAGTTTCAGAATGAAAATACCAAACAAAATATTTGAAGTCAAATAGTTGGTCCTATCTTTTGAGGAATGAGTATATTCAAAGCCATTGGTCTACTTTTTTCAATACCAACTGGCTTACAAGAAGACATTCTAATGATAATGAATGGAAATATATGTAAATTAAAATCCAAATTCTTTGGTTTATACCCAACTCTCAAAATTTAAAATGTATTTTTACTAAAGAACAAAAAAAATCCCCTCTAGAGTCTTGGTGGTATAAAAATTTGTATTTCAAAGTTGGTTTTGACATATTACCTGACCAAAGAATACGGAAAATTGTCATATACTTGAATGAATATGGAGAATATTTGTCATCAAATATTAAATTCTGCAAAATTTATTGAATCACGCCGAATATATAATCAATATAATTTTGAATTGAAACGTGATATAAAGTCAGTCATCTGATTCCAATAACTCCTTTGATATGTTTTCAAATCCTTTCATAATCTGAAGCTTTGTTTCAAAATTTCAAAATTTGGCAACCAGTGATTTTGAACCCAAAAATTTTACATAGTGATCGAATCAAAAGCATACTCGATAACAGCACTTCATCCTTGATAGGAATATAATTGTTATTCCTTTCTAGATATTTTTCAACTCGTTCAAAGATTTTATAACGTTGTTGATAAACTTTCACAAAAATTACCAAAATTAATTGTAGAATGAATACTAACATCACTAGAAATACAATTTTTCAAAGTAGGGGTGAAGTCATTTCACTGGTTGATATTTACTGTGGAGTTTTCATTGTATAGTGGAGTGAAAATAAATAGATATGATATTCCTTTGTTAACAGTAATAGAACAATGACATTTTTTTTTAAAACTTAGGTTGTATCACAAAACTACTGTCATATACATAACTCCGCAATAAAAAACTCCAAAATATGTTTTTTTCTATGAGTATTCATGTACAGTTTTTTATGACACAGAAAGCGTCACGATGATTTTTTCTTATGAATTCAGATATTGTTGACTCGATACAGTTGAGCGTCACTGTAGAAGTGTTAATTGAACCGAAGTTCTCTTATGATCAACGTTTCTTACATCCTCAGATTCAGACTATTTTCTTGGATATATTTCATCCTTAAGATGATGTGTTGCGTTCTCTAACTTCGGTATGAGTCTTGAATCATACGGTATATCAAAAACACAGTTCAAAAATTGTCGATTAAGTTTTGTGGACTTGACTGGTTTGCAATATGATTTTTATTGAAAAAAAGGACGCTATAGTCAAATAAACACTCTCTGTTCACCTCTGATATTTATTATTATCACCACTATCATCAATGGCTTCTTTTCTCTTTTGATCTTAAGTATTTTTCGAACAGGATTTGATCTATCCCACTGGTTTCAACGAGTCATACAGTAGCAACATAGATAAAAAAGAAATAATATCTCTCAAAATAAGATGAAATTACGAGGATAAGAAATACTATATAAACCTTGATTCAACGATGACTGAGGTTTATTTCCAGCAAAGTAGCTGATTGAAGATGAATAAAAGAGAGTCTGTTGGTGGACTTCCATTCATCGTAACGCCACCTGTGGGGTTTATTACTTGGACCATAATGAATCCATAATCTCAGATTATTGATCAGTGAACAGTTGTCTCAATATCACTAATTTCAAAAATCAATTTGAACTCGATTACTATAATCTTATTTTTCATAAAATATATTCCTATACGATCTATGACTCTCTGGACATTTCTTTAATATTATTGTGATATATAATGTGTTAAACAGTCCGAGTTATAATTCATCCGAATTATTTTTATTTCGATAATACAAATCTGTCAGAGTGAGATTACAAATTAATGTTATACAATAGCAAAACTAAATTTGAGCTATCACTTTATAGACTGACACTTTCGAAAATAACCAGGTCTATCTTATAACTTCTAGGATTTACGGAGGTTACACTTGTAAAGGAATATATCAGACATACAAATTATTTTACATGGTATGCATACAAGTATAAAAATTAACACAAAATACTTAGTGATATTATCTATTGGTTGATAGATTCTTTGGGGGCACCATAATATTAATGGAACTTCAAAATAGTCCAAACTACTTGGCTTGGATGTGAGACAGCTCCAATTTCACAATTCACTGTTCTGGAACGACCATTGATGACGAATAATGCTTCACTTGCAGGCGTTACCATATATTGTCCAAAAAGACCTGAAAAAAACATGACTGTATTTGTCGTTTTTGGGGATTGTTGACCATTGATCCAACTTTGCCAAAATCAATTTGAAACAAACGACGGACAATCATCCCGAAAAACGGCAAACCTAATTGATCTATCTAAAAAAACATTCTGAAATGAATCGCGTAACTATTATCATGAAGTCGAAAAAAACTTTTGTGTTCATTTTTCAAACTTCGATCAGTGTTTGCAAATTTTTCATTGACAAATGACAGAACTGAAGACAATTATCAGTCAAAATTATGAAATTCGAACAGAATATGAACACTTTCGGAAACTACTTCTCAATAGGATGAGAACATTATTTTCAGATAATGGATTCAAATAGACAGATACATGCAACGATATGCATTGGTATATAATCAATATTTTTGAACGAGAAGAGATATCAATATTATTCAAAAAAATGTTGTTAGGTCTATTTTTAATAGACCTAATATTCTCTCCAACGTTTTAATCATAAGATAATTCTTTGTAATACAGCAGTATATCTTCGCGAGAAAATGGAGGCTTCATCTTACTGGTACATTTGCCGCAATGGAAAAAATATTTTTCTCTCTAGATTTTCACCAGTTTTCACCAGGAGATTTCATTTCCATTCAGCAAAACTGTATAACCCTCTGTCTACCGGATTCAAAGAATACTTTCAAAAACAGATTCAAAGCCTTTTTTCAGTCAAGGTTGTGATTTCGTTGATAACTCGATATGTACCAGGCCAAGACCATGTTTTCTTTTAAGAATATGCATGGGTTCATATGTCTGTACTGTTTTAAATAATCCCCTGAAAAAAAAATAATAAATAAATAACGCAGGCCGCCGCCAGTCGTTATCAATCGATTGTCCAGGGTCGTGCTCAACTCGACTTCCCTATCAGATACTTCAACTAACTTCATGTTTCTTCTGCTTTGTTGGCCAGATAGAACTGTTATTAATTCGTTAGTTTGCAAATGTGAAGCGTCGACTAATTTACGGTATTCTTATGCAAATACTCAATAATTATTATAACCCATGGTACAAAATAAATCAGTAAAAACTTGCATCACAGTTCGAGATTAGTCCCTAGTCCACAAGGTATTCGTGAGTAAAAAAAAACTTGAATTCTGTAATTTTTTCTCCTTCTTATTCTTATACAAATACTATTTGTTTCCCTACATGACGATTTGTTATATTCACCTGATGCACTTATTGGCCGATTGGGATTTCCCCATTTTGTCAACTGTACTGGAATAGCTCTACCAACTCCAGTGATAACTTCTACTTTTCCTGGAACAAATAAAATTATTGAGGGTGATACTTTCTATTGGCAACATTGATTGCCTATACCTGTGAGCAAATTCAGAAAGACTATGCCTTCTTTGTCTTGAGCAGTTGCATAGATATCGTAGCTATGGGTCGACTGACTGGGATAGAAAGTTACGTCTGATATATTCAAACTTGTCTTCACGTCGAAAATGAATATCAATCCTTCCGCTGAAAAAAAAAGTGGAATTTTTGACAAAATCCAAGCTGGAGTTTCTGTCTTAAACATTAGGTGTTATTTTTTCATATATTTTCAAATAATTTCATGATTCTTTTTGAGACTTCTACCTTTCAGAAGCCGCGGTCGCCATCACTCGACCGCGCGATTTTCGTGCCCTTAGCCTCAGATGTAAAAAGCCAAATTGCTTTTTCACCCATCTATTTATTATATCTGAACCGTTCAGAATTATCAACCTAGTTTCGGGCATATAAGTGATAGACATCTATCCAATTCTACTTTCAATGTATTCCGAAGAGAAAACAGTTTGTTATGTGCATTTTATATTTGAAACAGGAAGAGGAAGAAATAAAGGAGACATATAAGTTGGAGAAAACTATGATCGCTTGATTCGAGTCTTCCAACTGATGTTCGATTATCTTGTTCGATTATGACTTACTTGAGATTACTTGGGAATGGTTCAATAAACCAAAACCGGTCGTAACACTTAAAAAACTTAGTAGACATCAGACAAAATTTATTTTATTTATCCTATATGTTCGGTTATATTGTTTGAAAAACGTCTCACCTGTGATTTCCTGTACAATCAAAGTTGCACCGGAAGTTGTTCGATCGAGTGTAACCAGTTTTCTGGAATCCGGAGAAATGAAGGGCACTCCTGGTAGATTCGGTTTAGTGCCAATCACGCTGTCAGTTAAATAATCCAGAATAAGCTGTCCGGTTGGCCTATTGGTAACTGGCTCTAGACACTGCATTATTACCATTCCGTCTAAAAAACAATACTAGCTGAATTGAATGAACCAATTGATGTGAAAAGCAGAAGACACCGTTTAAGAAATATGATTAGAAGATTCGTAACGGTTATTTATACATGTTTGTCTTTCTCGAGGTTGCAGTTTATAATAGAGGGGTATTCAGTAAAAAATGTTGGTATTATCATTGTAATATACCTACATATAGGGAAAATTTCATCGGACATAGTACGCAAAAAAGGCTTTCGTCCCATTATCAATATGGTGCAGCCAAGTACCAGGATGTAAGTGCACTTGGTGGATTCGCGTCCGGAGTTTTGTATTCGATGTTTTAGCTTCGATTTTGGCGCCACTGTCAAGAAATTGATGTGACTTGACGCCGGCGCCTCAATCTGCCTACTCCCCAGGTCTCGTCACGAGTTCTCTGTGAGGTCTCAATCTACCGACCTCCTAGATTGAAAAATTCAATTGTAACATCATATCTCAATAGTGACCAGTGTTTGCAGATATTTTCTATTCGATTCAATCATCCACTTGATTCAAAATGATTTGAAACAATATTATGGTTTTATCAGCCTTCATATAAGAATCGTTACAATTTTTTCTGTTCTAACTCTCAAAAAGGTGAAAGTGATAGAAGATTACATTTGCCATACTGCCTTAATTGCTCTTCATTCATTTCAAATGAATTTTATGAATAATCAACAATATTAATTTTCATCAGTTCAGACTTCCATTGTCTAACATAATATGAATTGATTTGAAATCCCTTAAAGAATCTGTAAAAAATTGAAAAAGATTAACCGAAAAATAACAATTTTACTAAACAAAAAACTNTTCAGCTTGTATCAATATTTCAAATTTTTTTTTTTTTTATTGTTGTTTGTATGCTATTTCTTTGTAATTTCAGTTATTTGTTTAATAGAATTGTTATTTTTCGTTCGATCTATTTTAATTTTTCACAGATTATTTAAGGGATTTCAAATCAATTCAAATTATATCAGGCAATGGATGTCTGTACTGATGAAATACATCACGAATCATTGTCAACCACCTTCAATATTAAGTTTTTCGGAAAATATTTCAATGGTTCTGGTAACGAATATTTGGGAATATAAAGAAATATGACAAATCTAAATCGAAAGGGATATTTTTTCAGGAGATATTAGTTTTTATAAACAAATCTTCTTGGGTTTTCGCTCCTTTAGTTTTATACAAAAGATGTAGAAAACAACACAAAAGAAATCAATTCATAATACAAGGCAAGTATCTTTTTCCGAAATTCGAAGTCCGTCATTGAGAATGACAGTGTTCCATGTAAATGAAATTTCATACGGAACTCTATAATATATATTATATTGTGCAATGTGTATCTAGTTTTATTCAGAAACATGGCATAGATGTAGTATTTTAGACAAACAACAATTTGAATTCATTTATAAATAATTCTAAGTCAGTACGAGACGAAGTGCCATGACTGCAATGTCTTATATATAGGTCAGACGGGCCGCAGTTTCAACCAGAGATTCGAGGAGAATTTGAGAAGTTACGGATTGAATAAACAAGATTCCAACCACGCCAATGATCCCATAGAAAACACTCACAATTTCACCCAAAATCAGGAAATTTTATCAATTCAACCAAAGAGTCTGAAACTGAATATATTGGAAATTATAGGAATTAAAAAACATCTTGCTAATAAAAACAACATAGTTCTGCATGATCAGATAGATATTTGTAATTCTCCAATCATCGATAATGTTATTAGTAATTTCCCAAATTTTCCTTTCTACCTACCAATGCAACTTATAGTATTTAAGGAGATGACATCATATACCTAGGTTGATTCATAACTCGCTCAGAAGATGACACAGCTGTAGCATTGAATGTCAGGGTTGTGTAAATTGTATAATTTTTACCCTACCCATTCAATACTGTGTAACGTTTCTATAGATGATATCTGATTCAATTCCATAGCGAAGGTCTTTTCTTTCAGTTTGTCTGTGAAAGTAACTTCTTTGCATTATCCACACATTTTTTTAAAGATCTTATTTCAAATGTAATCTAATATATGAAAATGGATGTTTGTTGGTTGGTTGGTTGGTAAGTGATAAACTTCTACATCGCTCAACCGATCGTGATGAAACTTGACATGTATAAGTAATTTTTCATAGAGAAGGTTTTTAGGCTACCAATTTTTTTGTAACTCGCCACTAGATGTCGCCGTAGAACAATTTTTTAAAAGCACTGTTCTATAACGCTGCGCATGCCTAAATTCGTAGTACTAATCAGTACTACAACTACAAATTCCACCGCGGGCAACAACTAGTCGCCTATGAAGATAGAGAGTGAAAGTCAAAAAGGTATGCAATGACAAATATGCAATGATGCATGTATATATCGTATTTTGAAATTCTCTTCTAGTATTACTTACATAAAGCAGAAAATCTCACTTGAGCGGGAACGCAGTTGTATGGCGTAAGATCCACCGACCTAGTATACCTAAGATTCACCAAGTCTAATTTGTATAATCCCCGCTGATTTGTGTGAGTCACGTATCCATATTTGAAGCTGTAATGTGATAATTCCTGGAAAAGAAAGGATAAAGAGCTCAGTAGAGAATGGATGAGAGTTCCAAGCGAGGAAGTATAGAATATGCTAATTTCTGAATGTGGTGTGGAAAGGGTACATTTGGAAACTTCAGAAGAATATAAGTCGCAATCAAAATCTATTCGAGTTGTGAAAGAATAATCCCCGAATGATCTACATAATGTGCTAAAAAGCTTTGCTTTCTGGAATTGAATTGATTTCCTGTTCATTCTGAAAGTTTTCAATTTTTCATAGAAGAATAACAAAATAATAGAATACTGAAAAATCATCGATATATTTAGGCCTATTTACTTCAGCTATTCACTAAAAAAACGTTCAAAAAATGAAAAATTTCACAAGCTCCTCCAGTAGGTAAATGTAGAATTCAAAGTAATCAGACACTAAATATGATTCTTTTCCAACTAGCATTTTCCAACTAGCATTTATGAACAATAATTTAAATAGTATTTTCCAGGGGATGCTACTCTACTGTAAAAATTGTAAAATTTTTATAATTTTCAGAATTGATGAATCGACTATGATCACTATAATAATTAAATGATTTTTGATGAGTGTAATTAATATTCTCAGAGTCTCTGATTGAAAAAAAAAATGGTAGTATCTTAATTGAGTGCTCTCCAGAAAACTATCTGGATTGCATATAAATACGATAGGTGTACACCTATAAAATACAAAGATATTAGGTTGCGCACACTTTTGACAGGGTGATTTTTCTTGAATTATTCTTCCAAATTTAAAAAAAATCATTATTATAAATTAAGCTAACCTATAACCTAACCCAGCCTATGGAGTTGAAGGTAAAGACAGATTTCGATTTGCTATTTCTTAAAAAATTTTTGTTGAAAATCAACGTGATCTGTAACCTAACATAGACAACGAAGTTGGCTAAATTACATAGAGTGGACTAAGTTACATAAATGACGCAATCGAAATATGTACTCATATATATGAGGTGTGTCAAAAAATGTTGCTTTCAACAATTGAGGTGTTGTTTTCGAGTGAATTTTGGGTTTTGGAAACGGAAACGAATTATTTTTCGAAATGTCCACTATCTAAAGAAAGCCAAGTGTGGAAAAATTAATTTTCAAATTGATTATTCAATTAGATGGTGAAATCAATGAATATGACAAGTCACTGACTTGCTAAAATCTTTAATGGTTTATATTACACAGTTACTGGGTGAACATTTCAGTTTGCCATTATTACACTGCAGAAGATTCTCTATTAATTGAGCTCTGAGATCCAAGAAAACAAAAAAAAACCAGTAAGAAACATCAAACTGATGGATATAGGCGTTACTACGTGGTAGGAAATCATAATAAAAAATAAAAAATAAAACTTTCTATGTTTTTATACCACTTGTATTTGTAACTAACGTTACTGCAATTTCGTCTCATAAAGACATTTGTATATCACTGTAGGTAATAACCGACGGTCCTTAATGACTCTATTACCTGAATTTTGTTTACCGGTGACGATGTGGGTAAGCCAATCTGAAAACCGCCGAGTAGACCAGGTCGATTTGATCATTTAATAGGTGTAATTTCGCCTGTTTCAGAGGTACTATACGACAGCTTAACAGATGTATGACATTTATGAATAATCTACGTAGAAACACATAGTTCACATTTGAAACAGATATTGAGAAACAACTTAATTTTTTGGACCTGTCCATCAAACATAATCATAATAAATTTCAGTTCAAAGTATTCACAAAATTTCCAAGTGATTCTTTCCATCCCGACTGTTATAAATTATCAGCCTACAGTTCGATGTTACACAAAGTATTCTCATTACCTTTGTCTGCTAACAATCTAGTTAGGGAAATTAAAATAATTATTCAGGTAGGACATAATGATGGTTTCAACGCAGACACAAGTTAGCTAGGAAACAAAGTCTCAAATTTTCGTTCAGAATAATATACCCCCAGATCAAATAGTCTGAAATCAAGAAATTTGTAACTTTAGCATATTTTGGTAGAACATCAGAGACAATTACGGGATTTTTTCACAAAAAATAATGTGGAAGTGACATTCAGGCCACATGACAGATTATGTAATTTTCTTTTCAATGGCAAAGATGAAGTGAATAAGATGCAGAAATGTGAACTCTATTATAAGCCAAGTGTCTGGAGGATACTAATGCTTATGTGGGACAATGTGGCCGAAATTTCTTAAAACGGTATGCTGAACATGAAAGGTTCTTCAGACTAGGTAAAAGTGATTAGACGTTTTCAAACCATTCCTTGGGATACAACCACAAGTTCTCGAATCTAAACGATACGGAAATTTTGCACTATGCAGACAAGGTTTGGAAACTCAATTATTTGGAATCCTTGGAAAATTCATAAGCATAAGCATTGCGGATGTAACCTACTAAATGACTAAATCGGTCTTGTCTACTCGATAGTTCTCAGATTAGCGTACCCACATTGTCACAGGTAAAAAAAATCAGCTAATAAATTTATTAAGGACTATCGGTTATTACAGTGGTGTATTGATATATAAGAGTGGTATAAAAACATAAAAAGTTTCATTTCTCAATTTTCAATTCAAGAAACCTTCATGGTGATATTTTGCAATAACAGTATTACGTACTGTTCTTTGTACCTAATTATCGCATATGTCAATCATTTTTCAGAGATGATTCATGAAAACTTATAGAAATTTGAAGGGACAAGCTGTACGTGCCAAATATGTTTCCAATTTGATGACGTTAGAAGTCTCTATTATAGAGTATTCAACATCTCAAGTGGCTACAAACGTTTCAGTGAATTGTTTAAAAAAATAAATGATTTTTGTATGACATTTTCAGTTCATGAAAACAGTTTGTGTGTCGAACAGAATCCAAAATGATATGAACAAATTGCAACAATACTTAAATATGTACCTGAATCTGGAAATGACCTAGCAATAATTTACTTCAATCCCTGGCCGAGTACCTATATACTTATCTCATCATTAAAGTTTGAAATGTCACCTACTGAAAATTACTTTCTTATATTCCGTTTACCCGTTATCAAAGATGAAGATATCGGTGCAAGTCAGTACCTAACACTAAAAAATAACAATCCCACCGAACAACGAAACATTCCTCAAGATACTCTCATTGTTCCTTCTTCTAAAGTTCATGAATGTTTGTGAAAGAGATAAATGAACTCTTAAGTTTCATACTATATGCTTTATATTTTATAGGGTGCTTAATACAAGTTTTGGCGACGTGAGATAAGATTAATCTGAGAATAATTTCAGAGATGAATGACGAGCAAAAAGACAAAGTTTACGTAGAGCGTGAATATTAATGAATTGTCAGGTTTGAGTTAAGTCTCCAGGATGGAGGAGATAATTTGATAATCGCGGAAGAAACAAATATAATTTGATATTTCACGAAAGTTAATAGATACAATTATCTATTGTCCTAATTCACAATTGGGGAATTTTTCCTGTCTGCGAATACAACCAAGTCAGTTCCACCGTTTGAGAACAATTCGTTCAGGCCAGTCTCAACATCCTACACAGTAGGTTAATGGGCTGACACCTATCAGAAAACAACTACTCCCCTGGCTAATACCACAAAGGGTGTTGGATTATATCCGACAGGTGTCAGTGCAGGATTCTTCACTGAAGTTATTCCTGCATAAGCTGTTGGCGATACAACTGCCGCAATAAATTTTCAATTATTGGAACACACTTGCAGACCGATTTCGGGCTGTTTGCCCACTCGTTAGTGCAAAGTAGTGTATATTATCAACATAAAGTCGATGATTTCCGATAATTGAAAATCGAATTCCGTCAGAGTATCATTCTTTGAACTAAGCTGAAGCCTACAACAAACAACAGGTTTGTCGTCGCCCCATCTGCCTGTGAACGAGGTAACCAACTGCATATCCGAAATTTGCCCAATTCCTCGTATAAGGAAAGACATCTTTCACGTATAGTCAGTGGGCATACTTCAAGACTGGCTATAAATCAAATCATCTAAAAGAACAATTCGTTCAGGTCAGTCTCAACACACTACACAGTAGGTTAATGGACTGATACCTATCAGAAAACAACTACTATCCTGGCTAATACCACGAAGGGCGTTGGATTATATCAACAGGTGTCAGTGCAGGATTCTTTTTTTAGATGATTTGAAAAGTAAGTTAAAAATCGTGGTATTTTTAGTTATTCTCTAGGGACATTTTCCTTCCCTGTTCCTTCGAAAAATAATAATAATAACATTGTTTCTGTACTAGCTGATTCGGCGACTTTTGTACCGCTTCCGAATTGAAAAAATGCTGTATTGAATCAGAAGCTGAGTTTTTTCAACTTTTTTATATAGTGATTGTGAAGCACGAAGTCAGGACATGGTAAGGCGACAAGTGTTGCCATGTCATTTTCATGGTTAGCAATATATTTTGTATCGAAAAAACGTAGATTGATACGAAAAACGGTAGAAAAAATATTTTATAAATACATACTGCATACACGTTAGTTTTCCCTATTGGGATTGGTAGATCACTCAGTTCACACCACAGAATAAGGCATTCCTCTCGTTCGATTTCTTCTTCATCTACGGTGGATTAATTCCTAATATTCCCCAGTATGATTGCATTAAGGCTTCGTTGTAAAATATTCGAACTTTTCATCAGTAGATTTCAACTCTCAGAGAGTAGAAGAGTGCAACATTCCATATACAAGTACTACGATGCCATTTTGAATGGTAGACAGATAAAAGAATGAAATTGTTGAATAAAATGAAAATTTTCAGGTTGAGAAACAAACAGCTGAATTGAGAAATCTACTGAAAAATAGGGTTCAAAATACAGGCAAAAAATAGTTTTTAATAATGATTGCCCAAAGAATCATACACTTAATGATAAAGTTTTTGAGAGTGGAAACTTCTGTACTGAATATGAATTATTGATGTTTATATTAATTTCAGTGATTACCTGCGAAGGAGAAGGTATAAATAGTCCTGTGACAAGATCGAATTGACCATCGATAGGTTCGGGATGTACTGTGTGGTGTTTTCTTTTTTGCCCAGCATCTCTGATCACCTAAAAACAAAATATGATTGCGTGAATATATATGAGAATCCATTTTTATCAGCGAACGTTGAAAGGTGAAACGTCGTTGGTCCTTAACTAGAACAAGTGATAAATGTGATTACAAAAGCGTGAAAGGTAGTATTAGAATTTTTTTCGTTGAATGAACCAGCAAAAACATTTTTCTTATGATTAGAGGAAAATAAATCTGGGGTGGTAAGCCGTGGCGGGAAGGTTTCATCTGCATCTGCGTCAGATATCTTTAATGGGCTCATTTAATACATTTTTTATATTTCATTATTTGAGAGTTTATCATTCAAATGGTACATCTGCAAAAATTCTGATTCTGAATTTTCACTCTTTATCTTCCTCCTCAATGTGGCGTTCACCGAAACGGGGCGTGGTCAAGCTTGACGTCACATCAGTCGACTCGGCTACAAGAGAGTGTTGGCGGATACGCGAAATATGTGTGCTAAAGCCGTAGAAAGCAAGTTGTGTGTTGTTTACTGCAGTGTGACAACTGTGTGAATATGAATACTGATAAAAAAGGACGTTACAAGTATTGCATCGTTCCTAAATGCAAGAATTTTTCGGTAACTGCACCAGACAAAATTTTTATTTCACTGCCAAGTAACTTAAAATCAGGAAAGATATGGCACCGCGCTATCCGGAGGGCCGACTGTGTATCTGCCAAGGGGACGCATTTTTGTTGCGAAGATCATTTTAATGTAAGTATGAATGATAATAATTAATGAAAAAATTATAGTTGGATCTGAGCATTACTTTGAATTTTAGGTTAAAACAGGCTTAGAAAAAAAATTACATGTATATCAAAACTATGAAAGTGGGAAAAATTATATTGAAACCAGGCGTAATTCCGCGTATATTTGATTGTCAGATTGATAGACCGACGGTCCAGACATCTAAAGCTCCACCGTTCGGTCAAAAAAAGGAAAAACAAATTTTGTTAAATACTTGTACGAAGATATCGCTGAAAATTAAAGCATGTCTGATAAAGCAGATACACAGGAAAATACCTTTGATGTTGGAATTCAAGTTAATAAACAGGTTTTTCGAAGATCAAAAGCTACACAAACCGTAAATATTATATACCACCGAAAAAGAAATCGTTCTATAGAGGTAGAAAATACAGAAAGCTCTTCTAAGGTTGTCTTCTAATGAACAATGGTCCTCAATCTCCAACGACAGGTCCGGTTGCCACCGCTCGAAGCTCGTTGCCTGGTGTGACGTCAAGATGTCCCACGGGCGATCTCACATTTTCAATTGCTTTTGCTCAGTTGTTAATTGACATATACCGGAAAATTTTGTGGAATACTTGTTAGATGATTCACTTTTACAATATATAATTTTTAATAAAAAACTAAATTAGCCTGAATGAGTATTTGCGAATGACTGTTGATAGTTGTAACTTGTGTGAGATAAGGACTACAATTTCTCAGTTTTCAACGTGTGATTTCTAGCATGGGTCAGTCGATAAGCAGTGTACACCCGCTGCTTCCATGTCTATCATTCTCAGTTTGACTTTTTCATTTTACTAAACCGCCTCTGCCTCCATATAGAAGAACTACGTTTTCATCATATTAAATGGCATCCAGGCCTTTTTACGGGCGTTCTATTTTGTTTTTTCATTTTGTTGGCATGTATAAGCAACAGTAAGTTATATACTTAGGTATTGAAATGTATATTCTGAACGTGAATACTTTGTTTTCCTGACCGTCTATTTATGTTTGGTAATTATTCCTTGGGAGATTCAGTCTTTATCGAAATGAGATTATACGAAATATAAAACGCATTGTTATAACAACGACACACCTTTTGACCTTTGTGCCATCTTCAGATTCTAAAATATAAAATTACAAACACAGAAATGTGGATACAGTAAATTCACTCACAGCTGATATTAATTGATTTATTGGGCGATAACACCATATATGCACAGTCACAGTCAGTGTACCTTATAAAAAAGTGATTCAAAAAACAAACTTGAACATACATAGTTTTGTCGATTTCATTTATAATCAGGGGAACTAAGATACAAACACTTTGTATCAAGATTGACTGGGGGAGGGTAGGTTATGCTTGTAAAATCTTTTAAATGATATGAGGTAAATCTTGAATTTCACTTCGATTATTAACAGAATTATGATTACTTTCAGTGTTATTCTTTTCTGATAATCAGATAGTATGATAATCAACGTGCTAGGAATCGTTAGCTCGCACAAGTGTCGTCTTCTGGAAATCAATGTGATGAAAATTCTCTAGTGAATGTTTGGTTGGTGTAAAAGGATCAAAGGTTTTGTTTTAGAATATCTTAGTATGTGGCCAACGGGGCTTCTAGATAGTTTTCTGTCTGAACTATATATGTAACATCATAATTTCTAAAATCAATCTTGTAACAAAACCAGTCTGATCCATTGTATTTATACATTGGTTGCAAATTTGAAAGCATTGTATACATATTATATTATTTGCCATGTCCTCCTTAAACTCTCCGTATACCCTCCAAGGAACCTCAAGGAATGGTATTGAAGTATTTTTTCTGTTCATTATTACCATTTGTGTGGTACAACTGGTCTTTCAAATGATTTTTCATAGAAATATGGCAGACAGTTATTTACTTTCGACATTGTTCTGAGCACATTTAGTTTTATATTATATTTTAATTGTGAGCAAGTCAATTACCTCGGCCTACTTATTGCAAACATTTTTTCATAATAAGATGATGTAGTTGATTCGAAAGTAAAATAGCATTCGTTCTCGATGTAAAGTTTTGCATCTTACTATTTTAATCCTAGTTTTTTTCTAGGCAAATTTAAAAAATCGTCTACAGAAGACTGTAATAACATAGTGTTATCACTAGAAAAAAAATATAACTAAAACTCTATTATACATCTCTGTTATTACGATTTTATGATATTTTAGTGCCTGAAGATGACCAAAACGTACGTCGTTCTGATTGAAAAAAAAATCGATAGGAACTCAATCTTTGAGGAAAAATTACAAAATGTATATTGAACCATTATTAGCCGGGAACTTATAGTTATTTCTAGTTTCAGTTATTTATCAGAAAATATATCTTTGAATAGCGATAAAAACATTCTGGATTATTTCGCACATCCATTGTGCTCGTATAGGACCGCTTTCACCTGAGTCATGAAGTTACTAGAATAAAGATTTTTCCTAACCTATATTCCAAAGAAATTACTCCTCAAACGGAAAAATTTGTAACAAATCGTCAGTTCTGAAGATTATTCTTCGAGTATTCTTCACCTATTTACAATAAGTATGACTCTTTAATTTGAAATCTGAGTGTATTCACCTGGATAGTTTTAATCCCAGTATCATTTGGTGACCTCCAGTTGAGAACCCAAACTTGATCCAAATGTGGAACATGGTGAAGTTCCACAGGAAACTTATCAGTACTAACAACGTCGACAACAACCATCTGTACTTTGGAAATTATGAGAATCCTGTCTCTGTTGGGCTGGCTAGCATACACGTATCGATTTGCAACGTTGATAGCTCGTCCCCACTCACATTTTATGCCTTTGTCACCGCAGACATATTCCTGAAATTGAAAATGATGAAAATTATACATATTGATCGGAGATCTCATTCCTGGTTGTGCTCTCGTAAAACTTTTCTTCTTGATTTGTATTCAAAGCAAGTGATATATAATCATGATAGTATTGAAAACTCGATCAAATAATGGTTTAAAAGGAAAAAAAAAGACGGAAGGATTATAAATAAGGAATATTCAAAAATATGACGGTGATAAGGCGTCTACTATGTGATTGCTGCCTCATTCAGATATTCAGCTTGTTGTTTGTGTGCGGTTTCTTGTATGGTATTGCTCATAAGATTTCAGAAATGTTGAAACTTTTCTGTAAGAGAAGGATCTATGGTCTTTAGTATTAAATATAGATTAACTCAGATAAATCGTTTAAACACTGAAATCATAGAATATTTTTGAGGTTAGATAACTCCCAGTAAAAGAAAACCAGCCGTTTCATCAGTACCGTGCAGACAGTCCTCAATTGAATACAAACTGTGAAAAACCAAAACGACTACTCATAAGTCACTGTGTAAGCAAACGATACATAAGTGAAACTACCCAAGTTAGCTTGCCAAGTTTTGATGTCGGCGTTGGTCGTTTGACCAATGTTCAAAACCGACAACTGAAATTTGGGAAACTGTCTTGGAATGCAATTGGAAAACGAATCCACATGTCCTCTGCGGTTTTTTGATATGATACATGCTGTTACACATGTTCTTGAAACATGAAAACCACCCAAACCCAAATATTCAAGAAAAGAAAAACAGGCTCTACGTAACTTGAAGAAAAACAAAAATTCCAATATATCATTAGTAGATAAAGGCAAAGCGACAATGATTACGAACATAATCAACAATGAAAAAAATGACGGATATCGTTCAAGACGGTTCTTATAAATCATCAGGCAGAGACCCGACGACCTACTTAGAGAAAACCTCTCAAGCCAAAATCTAGTAGAGCAAAGTCTTATGTACTCAAACCCAAACACCTGGTGAATATCATCAAACTCATAAAACTGAACATCACAGATATCCTTGCCAGTCTAGACATAAAGTCCTTGTACCCCAGCATACCTCTAGATGAAACTATGACAATCACTAGAGAATATCATAACCTTCCACAACAAGTATGGTTTCAGCAGACAACTGCCTGAAGAATACCTATTTCACTTTTTAGAACCAAATCTACAAACAGGTAGATGGGCCTCCTTTATCACCGGTAATCGCAAACCTGTTGATAATGCACTTCTAGAAAGGAGCACTCAACAAGGCTTTCCTCAAGTCGATGCCGTGGAAAAGATATGTAGAAGACATCTTCATCGTGTGGTCCTACGAAAAACAAGGATTAAACTGGTTTGTGACTCAACTGAACAACGTCCACCACAGTATTCAGTTCACTACTGAATAAAAGGTTTTGAAAAGGATCTATTTCTAAAGATCTATGAGAACGACTCAATGGAACTTTTAAGTCCACCTTTTTGTTTGTTATATCGTTGATGAATGTATTCCAATTTAGAATTTCTTTGAGAGTAGGCCAATTTAGTTTTTCATTATTTGGTCTATATTGGTTGTCAATATCTATCTTGAATATTTCAAGTAGATATTGTTTCCACAATTCCACAATTCAATACAAAAAAGAAATAAAAACAAAATTAGGGAAGTGATTATCTAAAACCATAAATGATTTTAGAATTTTCCTCTTGTTGCTTTTAATATTTTCCTCAACATTGACCTGAACCGTGGGTAATTTATTCTAGAAATTTCAAACCTATTCAATGAATCCCTCCATCGTGAATTGAATCAGTCGTTTGAGAAACCGCGAACTGAAACTAATGGAAAAAGTTGCCAAATTTTGATAACGATAATATTCTAGACTCCATCTCATACGCGATTGCTTCTTTCATTGGTATTTTTTCGAAATATGAAATGGCCTTTGCTTATTTTATATGAAAAATAGTATGTTTCAATCATGATGAAAAAAAAATAGTGATAATAATCACAATGCCTATGAATTTTTTTGAAGTTGTTGTGCAATCGAATCTAAAATCATCTACATTAATTTTATAACAATTTATATTTCAACTGAAAATATTTTAATACTGAATTTGATTAGATTTCCGTTAATTTTCGTTCAACATGCAATCCCATGAAAGCCGAACCCTTCAATTTTAAATATTTACCTGCGTGCCAGGAATAATGTCGGTCGACTGGATGCGGTGGTAAAGCCGGCACGTGGAAGGCTCATAGATGGACACTCCCCAGTCGTGAAAAGCAAAGAATCGCCGTTCCTCGTTAGGAGAACCTGTAATCAACAGTAGGTTCATTTGCATGTTATTTGCTTGGCATACATGCGATCAGTCCAATTAGGATGACTTATCATTTTCCGCGTCTGTTTATTTTCGGGTAGGAGGGATATATAACTCAATGTTTTTGGAAGCGCTGTGAATTTTTATTTGGATGTTATTCAATTTACAAGGATTAAATTGGCTGCAACACCATAATCATCAATTCTAGTAATTCTTTCAGTACGACGGGAGGCCGTTGTTAATTAAATACTGTGTAACAGTTCGTATTTTCAAAGCACGTATTAACAGAACGAACCTAATCAATAACTGCAACATTTTGGAGATATGCCAAATTCTAAAATATTTTATTGATTGCCATAATTGCCTTTTTTTCGAAAACCAACAAACCAATAACTTTTAACAGCTGAGATGAATTGGAATACAGATCCCAAATAAAATGCATTCGCAGGCTGCGCTATTTCGACTCCATGGGTGGTGCTAGGCTGAACAATGAATGAATTGCTAGACCTAAAGTTTTTTAAGGAACGAGCCTGAAGAAACAAGGGCGACGATATACCCCCTTAGAAAGATGCCATCTATAGGATCGGCAGAATACTCAGTCCTCGAATACCAAAGATAAACAAGTCTTTCCAAAATGGTTAGTTGCAAAGCTAAGCTTTGATATCGACCACCGACACGATACGTACTGGTTGAAATATGGATTTTGAACACAAATAAGAGGAAGAAAAAGAAGAAGAAAGGATAACTACACAACAAGTGAAAAAATTAAGTTACAGATAGAAGAATAAGATTGAAAAAGGAAAAACAAGTTTTCAGTAAAATTAGAGACAGACAACCAATTTTAAATATTTAGTGACAAAGTTGAACTAGTGGAAGACAATTGAACAAAACCTGGATGAAGCTCAGGCATCAGCGGCTGAATAAGACCATTTGTAAACCAGTCTTCATGGATGACATCCACATCATCTACAAGTTGAGGCAAGAGTCAATAACAACGACTGATCAGAAAATCGAATGGTCAATGTTCAAGTTTTATCATCACAAGATCAAGTTCGAGTAATTCCGCAGAATATGAAAAGTGGCTAAAACGAATTTAAAAGAATGAAAGATTTAGAAATGAGACTGGAATGAGACATTACTCAATAAATATACCAGAGTCAATGTGAAATTTCCTAGATAGTCTGGAAGAGACTGAGCCAATTGTAGTCAGGAAGACAATTTTCCAAGGTGAAGTGTCATAATAACATAACATCTGGAGATGAATTTTTGGAAAAATTCAAGTTCCGAAATATGTCTTCTTTTAGAACTATCCTGCTCAGAGAAAAAAAAAACGGATTTCCGTGATCTGAGAGAAGGAACATATCACCAATACCCGAAAAAAGGTATTGCACGTGCACTAAGTGCCACAATGTGAGATTGAATTCTGAAGGACTCTACTTGTCTACTACTGATGAAATGAGAGCAAACAACAGAGAAAGATAATTACCTGAAGTTTGTCTACCTGATTGGCCACAAATTTTCAAGTATAATACAGTTCAATAAAATGTCCTGTGGAGACATACAATAGACAACGAGGTGTATCGTTGTCTATTGTATGTCCTGTGGAGACATACAATAGACAAAGAGGTGTATCGAACTTCAAATCGACTGGCATGAATTGATGGATACTGCTGGAAGGGAAAGTTGTGAAACAGTGTAAGTGATCCACCTTCTCCACCTTCACGATCAGTCAATTTACGTTCATGCTTATTTCAGAAAATGAGAAAGGCTTGGACGAGTTGGTATCCCTATGCTGTTTGTTATACAGAAGAGGCTTCGACAAATTAACAGGCTATTTTACTTATGATGTACTGTTTGGAACCTTTGGTAATGCATATTTGGTAATGCATATTACTGGAGTTTTTTCCCAACACCAAATCGTTATTTCTACACCTCGACACGTGTTTCGATCACCAAGTGATCATCTTCAAGAGGAAGATAAAACTACTATTTTACAAAAAAGCTTCAAACTGGAAGAAGAGTTGAATTGCCGCTTTATCTGTTTATTTCCATGTGGTAATACGTAGGTATTACCACGTGGAAAACTTGAAAACTCAAGTCGAGTGTGTCACAAAATACGCGAATTTGCAACACAATGCCAACAAATACGAGATGAAGAAGCGGTAGGGTAAAAAAGTTAAGGACAAGGCCAGCTGAGATACCGTGTTGCTGTATTGATCCCTAGAAGTGGATCTGTTATAATTTGCAATGGATTTGTGATCGTTAAAATGAATGACTCGATCCATCACAACCAATTAATTGCAAGAAGGCCAATAGTTTGAAGGATCTGAGTTAGCAATTTTACTTTTAGAGATATACAGGAAAAAAAAAACTTCAAATTCATTTATTACTTATACCTGGTTTAACTCGAAAGATTTACAAAAATTGTTTTATAGGATAGTTTTTCTCAGGATGCTCCTACGTTTGTTTACTGAAGATACTGACGATATTGTATAGTGAAATGCGTGTTGCGGTTTTGTAACAATGTTCAGGTGAAAATATCACAAAAAAGTGTTTCTTGAATACTTTATGGGTTTTCATCAAGTATCGGCCGATTCTATCACATAACTCAAACTATTTTCAACATTTTTTGAAACTTTGAGTTTGTTGCCTTGCAGTGGAAGCTGTATTGAAAGACAGGATGAATCCTCAGAGAGCCTCGTTTTAATTTCAAATTTTTTAATTTCGCTGAAGGGTCTGTAGATTCTCATGATGATGTCTCCGTAAGATACGAATTGCTTTTACTTCCATTACAAACATACTGGTTTTGTCCATCTATGTATTGTATTTCACTTGTATGTACTCGTTTGTATGCATGTACGAGTATGTATTGTATGTTACTTCGGATTCATAAACTTTATTACTTATTATTTTTAGAATATGAGGAACAGTAAGAAAAATTCATAGATTCACTTTACGCCAGAGGTTAAAATTCTATCAAAAAATAAATTGTGAATAATACTAATTTCAATATAAAGTTACTTTGAAAAATAGATAACATGAAATTAGCTTTATCTTCAACAAACAACAATTTTTTGACATATCCACATGGAAATGCGTTACTAATAATTCGTAGAGCCTCTTCTCTTCTGCAAATCGCAGTTGTTTCTGAATGATAGATCGTACCATCAACTCTGACGTAAAATTTTGTTATCTGATTGACTCTGATCTTTATTTTCAAAAATATCACATGTTTCGCTATCACAATAGCTTTTTAACAAGTGGAAATCATATCACTAGGACGTGCTGTATCGTATACAAAAATAATTACCGGCAACCTGCAATTTGTCTTCAGTCTAAAACCAGCCAAGTCTAGCATTAACGAGGCCAAAAGGCCAAAAACAGCTATCTGTCGGTTGGCATTATTTTGAATTGAAAAAAAAAAAAACTGTAGATGATCAAAAATTCTAGTCCTTGCATTGTTGTCAAGTATATTGCCAAGAAAATTTTTCATGAGATATATTTGAAATAGCTACAATGCTACGAAATATCATATATTCATTCATAAACCGAAATGCAGGTTATGGTTGTCTGGATGACGAAATATCGATTTTGTGAAAATATATTAGCAGTCAAAATCAGAAATTTAATGAATAGGATATATCGTAACATACATACATGAAATTCTACTCTGTAACTATCGCACCTATTGTTTGAATAACGATGTCGAGTTAAATTAAAAATTCTGCTTCAAAAGTCACTGGTGAAATCATAAATACATCATCATCACATCATCATGGATACTTGTGAAATTGTGAGAGACAAATGTCTGATGTTTCTTTGAATCGCGAACTTGTCCTATCTCTCCCATTCTGTTTTATTATTGAAGCGTTATTCTAACTTTTTACTTACTTGGTATGGGTTGTTCCTGAACAACCAGAGAGCTGATGTCTCTTGTTAGGCCACCTGAAAGCAGAGATTGCCTGTTAAATAATGCGCAATCTTAATTAAACTTGGGTCTTTGGGTACTTGCGAACGTGGAAGATTGACTCTTGATATTAATTGAAGACATAATATATACCGCATCCAAGATAAATGCTGATGAAAATTGACATGCAATATCAATCATCAATTGGTGATAAGTATTTCGAAATAAATTGGAACAGTTCAGTTATAGTTATCGTTTTTATAGATTTTTTTCGACATTTTTTTACATTCATTTAGGAATCGATTATTTGAAAAGTTGCTATTTCCAAACTATCATTCATGACTGCAATTTATGTGTTGTGTATTGTCTTCTGATAATTGACAAAGTGTATATTATTGAAGTATTTGAATGTACTTTGATCCCACAGTATATATGTTATTTTAGTAATGGCTTCAATTATTGTTACAAATTGGCAAATACTCTTAATGTGGAGGCATTTTACTGGAGACGAATTCATCATCAATATTTGATGATGAGGGTAATGTAAAGCACCATTTTGTAATATTCATGTTATTAAAACAAACATTTCAATTTAATTTTTAAAACTAATCTAATGTGAAGGATGAATTTGAGGATTTTTAACAAGTTTGTTGATATCAAGCTCGAACTTACTCAAAAACAGCCGTAAGTCACCGCGTTCGGTAATCTACAACCGATTTCTCTTTTTAGTTAGCAACGTCACCACAGCACTAAATCCACGTTCAAACAAATACGATGATGGGAATGCTATCAGAAATCATTGAACAATGGACCACAATCCAGGGTACAATTGCTGGATTGGCAGTAGGAGACCCGTGGGCCGTGGCAGAAAGATGAGGCATAGTAAAGGCAGACAGACTAGACATAGTATAGGCAGACAGACTAGACATAATTAGGTAACATAATACATTATAAAAAAGTTTTTAGTTGGGGAATTGAACGCGGGACGTTTGGTGTGGTAGCCTTAGAGTATAATCTCGTCGCTGGAGAGGGATATTGAAAGTGGATGCGAATAGTTGGTAGATATGGGTATTGCGTGTTCGGTTGGTTTCGGCGTTGTTGATAACTAGAGTCGAGCGCGTTCAACATGATAAGTTGGAAGATATGTTACGCTATCGCTCGAAAAGTCAAGCTTGGAATGAGAATAATATGGGTATACAGGGTGTGTCAAGAAAGAGGTTATTGTTTTTAGGATGGCTTTCAACACGGTAATAATGGGATTGAGAGGTAGAGTAGGTAGGTAGGGTAGTAAATAGGCTGCACCGTTTTTAGATTTTTCTTATGTATATTTACATGGGAAAATGGCTAAGGTTCATCGTGGCATTTTTGGTTCCTGTCAAGGTCACGCGAAATTGACTCATTTTATATACCTGACCACATTTTTTGATTTCCGTAGAATGTTAGGGAAGTTATAATCCTCATTTACTTGTAGAAGATAGAAAAATATACTCAGTTTTGGGAAAGAATTGATATTTCATGTAAAGTGTATGTATGTGTGAGAGTGAGAGACACGTGTGACGTAATCGATGCAAAGAGAGATGGAGATGGTATCGAGGTTTCACGTTCCTAGCTCAGGCAGGTGTTGCCGGTTGTAAAATTAGGCATGAAAGATAAGGAATAATTGGAAGCGCGAAAGTGATATATTAATAATGATGAATCAGATTTGAGAAAAAATATGACAACCCAACAGTTCAACCTGCGATCTCTCAATGAGTACGGGGTGTCGCAAAATACATCATTAAAGAAAAAAACATGGCGTCGAAGTGTACAGGGTGCGTCAAAATACATACATCATTTAAGAAAAAAAACATAACAGTTCCACGAGGCTGTAAGTTTTCAACGTGCGATCCCTCAATGTGTACAAGGTATCTCAAAATACATCATCGAAAACAAACATGTCGTGTACAGGGTGTTTCAAAGTATATCATTTGAGGAAAAAACTTCAAATGAAAGAAAGAAAAAGCAGAATCCCTGTGTTTGTTGCTCTTCTCTATTCATACTTAAGGTAACATGGATCGATGTCAACTCTGAATAGGCATCTAACATAGATGCCTATCTATGTTAGATGCCTAACATAGGCATGACTAACATGCCTAACATAGGCATCTAACATAGATAGGCATCTATGCCTATCTATTTTTCTTCGTTTGATTTTCTTCGTTTCATTTCTGAGTATGTCATCACATAATTTTATATTCATGCCCAAGGTGACATTGATCACTGCCAATGCTGAATCATCATCCGGAGATACGCAGTTCTCGAAGCGACGAAACAGACTTCAATTTTCTTTGTTTCATTTTAAAATATGTCATTAATTAATTTACTATAAATACGTCTTGCATGGCGAAATGAGTTAGTTGCATCCGTTGAAAGTGATACCAGTGACAAGTGCACCGATTCTATTTGAAAGAAATTGTTTTTAAGTTTGACTTTTTCCTCATTTATTCAAATGTAATTCAATTAAAAGTTGGTGAGAGTTGTTGAATCATTTGATTTACAAAATTTTTCTCGATCGGACACGTGTTTCTGGCTATTGGCCTCATCAGCGCGGTGCAGCCAAGTGTGAAGATGGGCAACACTTGTTTGCCGAAAGCAGGAAACAACACATATGCAAGGAGTCAACAACAGGAGCTAATCGCACATTTGTGGTTCCAGTTAGAAGACCTAGAATTCCCAGGCTACATCTAACATGACCACGTATTTGTAGTTATATCCTGGACCCGGATGTCACGCAGGTAGCTATAACTGCCTACGTGGTCATGTTATATATAGCCTGGGAATTCTAGGTCTTCTAACTGGAACCACAAATGTGCGGTTGGCTCTTGTTGTTGACTCCGTGCATATGTGTTGTTTCCTGCTTTCGGCAAACAAGTTTGCCCATCTTTACACGTGGCTGCACCGCGCTGATGAGGTCAATAGCCAGAAACACGTGTCCGCGGTTTGCCCCACTTTTGGAGTGTTGTGTCCACTAATTGTTTCATATTTGATTTTTATATCATATCCACTCGATAAAATCTCTCTTTGTATTTATATCCTGGACCCGGATGTTACGCAGGTAGCTATATCTGCCTACGTTGTCATGTTAGATGTAGCCTGGGAATTCTAGGTCTTCTAACTAGAACCACAAATGTGCGGTTGGCTCCTGTTGTTGACTCCGTGCATATGTGTTGTTTCCTGCTTTCGGCAAACAAGTATTGCCTATCTTTACACTTGGCTGCACCGCGCAGATGAGGCCAATAGCCAGAAACACGTGTCCGCGGTTTGCCCCACTTTTGGAGTGTTGAATGTTAACTCCACAATACATAACTCCTCGACAACTTTAGTGCCATCTCCTTCTCCTGATGATGCTAACTTGGTTAACAAAGATACGAGACTTGCCCTTCTGACAAGTTGTAACGCTAGACTTCTGTGAAACCGACATGTTTTTTTCTCAAATGATGTATTTTGAAACGCCCTGTATACACAATGATATCATACTTCAAACCGACATGTTTTTTTTCTCAAATGATATATTTTGATGCACCTTGTACACTTCGACGCCATGTTTGTCTTCAATTATGTATTTTGAGATACCTTGTACACATTGAGGGATCGCACGTTGAAAACTTACAGCCTCGTGGAACTGTTATGTTTTTTTTCTCAGATAATGTATGCATTTTGTCTCACCCTGTACACTTCGACGCCATGTCTTTTTCTTTAATGATGTATTTTGAGACATCTCGTACACTTCGACGCCATGTTTTTTTTCTTCAATAATGTATTTTGAAACACCCCGTACACATTGTGGGATTGCAGGTTGAACTGTTGGGTTGTCATATTTTTTCTCGAATCTGATTCATTACGCGCTTCCAATTTTCATCGAGTCGTATTCGTAACCATTCATGCTCAATTTTGAAACCGACAACATTATATTGCCCAATAAACAACGATTTATTTCACAACTGGTAACACCTGCTTGCGCTAGGAACGTAAAATCTCGATACCATCTCCATTTTTTCTTGCTTGGATTAGGTCACACGTGTCTCTCACTCTCATACACACATACACATCTTTACATGAAATATTAATCCTTTCCCAAATCTAAATATATTTTTCTATTTTCTACAAGGAAATTACGGTCAAGTATATAAAATGAATCAATTTCGGTCCCGACAAAACTAACGCTATAAATACCCATTATTCGCAGTTACTTTCAATATCTCACATTGGTGAGAGGCTAAGGACAATGTCTACCACGCGAAAGAACCGGGTTCGATTGTCATAATTATGAACTTTTTTAATTAGGATCACGTGACTGGAATGTGACAAGGGGGCCGAGGGATGAGGCGGAGTCAAAAGGGGGGCCGATCGGTGATGAGGAGTACTAAGGGGGCCGAGAGGGAAAGGGAGTCCACGCTCTTTGAATCGCTACGATACTCATTCCATCCTGCGTCGATGACGTCACACGTATACGCGTGACCTTGAAAAGAACCAAAAATGTAACGAAGGACCTTAGCCATTTTCCTATGTGAATCTCCAAATAAGAAAGTTCTATTTACTATTGGCTTTTGTAGCCAAAATTCTTGGTATCCATTTTTGCATTTTATTTTTATTTCCTCGTTCGTTATCAGTTCTTCTTCCAGCTGGGGTGATCCTGCTATGTTAACATACCCAGTCCGGTATTTCCAATTTCAACATGTCCTAGAATCATTCTGTGAAATCACTGTGGAGATTCTCCAAATGTTGGCAGTAAATAAGCAAGTCGTCGTTGTTGAAAGATACTGCTGACAAATTAGGAAAATTGCGAAAGTCGCGTCTGCCGATAGCATTCTTGCATAAGAGCAATATGGCTACAAGCAGCAATTACATTGAGATTGGCATCATTGAATAATTTACACAAGTCTGTCAAGTACCTAATATCATTCTTTGCACTTCAAATGATGTTGTCGTGCAATGCTGGGTTTTTCAGCTGGAATTACTAATACGTGTTGACTGGAGATAGGTTCTATGATGAGGTTGGTCGTAGACTCCGGCGGTGCGACAATTTGAATTGTCGGTTACTTTGATAAGGGCTGCTATACAATCTTCTGTTTATAGATCCCGATGATCGTGGCAAATATGTGTGTCCTCGATTGTTGGGCACATCTCATCCTAGTATTGTTGTTGGTTTTCTCAGCAGGAACGGGTGACTTGGGACGATTGTGGAGTTATTAATTGGGATAGGAAATAGGCGAAACATTTCGAATGAGTTTTGAGAGAAAATTGGAAATTGTATAGCAAATATAAGTTTGCTTCCTGAACTTATAAACTTTTAAATTGAGGAATCCTGTCTTTATTGTATGTATCGTAGCGTATCTGTATTGTATCGTTATATTTAACTTCATCGTCTGAGTCCAGAGTACCAAAAAGCCATTTGGAAGTTTTTCTCACTAAATTCAAGGAACCGCGTTTCCAACGCTTTTGAGGTTGAATATTATTTATATTGTTTTCTACTTCTAGAATAAGATACTCGGTGTGTTTCAGTAGATTGGCCAAAAGTGTTTGCGAAAGGTTAATTTTGGCATTTTCTACTATTTCATCTATTATGTTATGGTGGGGCGCTTGCTGATTAGATTAGATTTGCTGATGGCTTCTAACGTGGTCGGCAATTTTATTATAAAAGGATCGTAGATTTTTCAGTTGATTGAAAATTGGGGATATTTCAACAAAATGGATGAAGGTGTGTTTGGTTTCGATTAATTTGGAAGTTCCAAGGTGGAAATGGAGCAAAGGAGTTTTCAGTCGCTATTCTGGACGCTATTCTGGACGTCGTTATGAGTATGGCTACACGAAGCCATGGCGCCATCAGTTTCATTGTCCTGTGAAAGAACAGATAGTTTTTTGAGTCTTTTCATTTATGATTTGTGTACAAGTTTGTCTTTTGTTGTCTGTATTTCAGTCCCTAGGTCTTCAATTACTATTTTCTTTCTATAGCGGGGTTTATTTTTACTTCTGGATGCTGTTTTATCCTTGACAAATGCCGTGATTCCAGGTTGTAATTCGGGCGGTTCTTCACGTTTCTCATTTTGTTTTTCGTTAAGTTTGGTCTTGTGTTTCACTGAGGTTTCATGTATTTTTTCAAAAAGGATTTTCAGTCTTTTTCGACGGTCGATTATGTACTGGTTCATTATAATTTCGTCAGACATATCAAATGGGTCTAGAGCGTCAAGTCGTCCGTGGATAATGTCAAAAGGTTTTTGTTTCGTGACACTGTGAATTGTGGAAATATACCGAACTATAGCGTATTGCATTAATTGTTTTGGGCTCGCTCGTTGGTCTTTCATTTTAAGAACTCGAAACATTTCAATAAGTGTGGAACGGAGTATTTCTACTGGGCTGTTACTATTTGAATTCCCGGGTGTTGTAAAATGAATTTTAATATTGTGGAGGGTACAGAAGTCTTTGAGTAAAGAAGTTTTGATTCAGTGCCACTATCACCGTGATGTGCAATGAAAGTCATTAAATTGTCGAAAACCACGCTTGCCGTACAAATGCGTTCGAGGGGGTATGCTTAAGCGTACCTCGAGAAAATGTCGATAATAGTCAAGAATTTGGAGTTAGAAATTTGAAATGTGTCTATGTGAATGGCTTCCAAGGGATCTGTCAGTGTTGGGGTCAATGCAAATTTGATCTTAGGTGGATTCCTCTCATATTTCGCTTATTGGCATATGTCGCAATTATTTATGTATTCTGTTATTTGGTTTTTCATACCTGGCCAAAAATATATTTTTCTAAGGTCTAAGAGAGACTCGTTTATTACGCGGTGACTCGTTTGTTCATGGTGATATCCTGTGAGTTCTGTTCGTCTATCTTCGTCCGTTATGTCTTTGACGAACTGTGCCGTAATACAAAGTTTGGATGATTGATTTTTGAAAAATTTTGGGAGAATGATAGATAATTTTTGGGCACGGTCAATTTCTGATTTATTAATGAATATGCAATGTGATTTTTTAGGGTCCACGTATTCTTTGAAAAAAATTTAATATTTCCTGTTCAAAGTTGCTAGATAAATAAACAGTTTGTCTGCGGCCTGTGCCGAGCGATTCACTGCGAATGACATGATAGGAACCAGCTTCTTTTTGATTGAATATAATCTGATTAGTAAATTTATTGATGCAATGCTCGGTTATTTTGATTTCGAGTATTGGGTTTTCTATAGCAGAGTGGACGGTTTCACCGTTGTTGTTGTCAGGTGGCGGTGTTATAATACGAGGGGATGGATTCTGATAAGGAGGGGGTACTACTTGAATATCAGATATTATGTTTATCCTCTTCATCACGTCATCGATCCAAGTAATTTGTCTAGCTGTTTGATCAAATGGCTGAATGTCATTCAGGCCGCTAGTTGAACTGTTTAGTAAAGAGGCTGGGCTGTTGATTGAACGATTAATTAAGCTAGTTGGCTGCGACATATACACGACATTATGTATTTTATATATTTATAATAGTATACTTTTAGTTACAATGTACCTCTTCATCATTTGAGATTTAATTTCAATATCCCTATTTGAAGAAAATGTTTCCAGAATGGAGCATGTCAAAATTAAGAATTTTTATATATCTCATTTTGCATGAATGGGCATATAATCAAAATCATCTTGACAATTATCTGTTGGTCATTTTTCATTATGATCAAAGGAAACACTTATGTAAAAGTTAAATTTCGAATAAAGCTGTCGATTAAAAACCCTCCTTGAGTTGAATGTAGAATGCATCAAGCTAAACACGAACTGTTGAACATTTATAACAAAAACTAAACCTCTTGAACAAAAAACTTACCAACTACAATTGAAAATATATTTCCTCACCTATACTGGTAGCTTGGCACATGTACGCTCCAGTGTCTGCGAATACAATATTTCGTAGTTTGAGAGCAGTTCCGTTTCCTATAATTTGATATTTTCTTGAAGGATCTAGTTTCAAAGGTTCATCATTTTTTAGCCATTGAACCTACGAAGAAATCATCATTGAAATGCAAAGAAAAATTCATTGCCGATCATAAATTTTTGGAAATGACCACTTTCAAAATCATCAATAAATTTATAAAACTCCAAAAGGATAAAAAATTTGTTGATACTGAGAAATGTACAAGAAACTATGTTCTTCAGATGAAATGAACAATAAATATTAATGAATGATATATGATTCGAACTAATTTCAGTTTATATCTGGAAGTAACTTTCATGCACGATCTACATAACTTTGTGAAGATTTTATTTCGAACTCAATTGCTCTCTTCCTTCCTTTGGAAGTTTTCCCAATTTTTTGTATAAAGATGGAGAAGTGAAATCCAAAAGATTTTGGTTCGCAAAAACTAATCTATCCCGAAATATACACCTTTCAAAGTATTTATTTTATTTCTCTTTTTTGGAAGTTTCTCACATTTTTGATTGATGATGAAGAAGTAGCAAATCAAAAATCAATGTTATCTAGAAATGAAATGATTATGTTCATGAATTATAATACTATGAGTAACCTGATGATATTGCTTTTTTCACATGCTGATAAAATACATTTTGAATTTGAGACTCACCTTCGGAAAAGGTTCACCCGCAACATGACACAACATGGAAGCATCTTCACCAGGTCTCTTTGATTGAATTCTTGGTGTTACATGAACTTCTGGTACAGCTGAAAACAAGAGAGTCAATTTTTTCAATTTCAATGCTATTCAATTTCATTTTCAATTCGATATAACAAGATACTTAGATGGACATACATTATTGTAACAGTTATCCTTCATTATGTATAGTAGAGTTGAATGTATAATAAAGTTGAACAGAATAACTATTTATGTCGCAAAGTTGACTTTTGAATTTTCTGATGAACTCGTGAATAACCTTGATAGCAAGAAATTGTCAATATTCAGTTCAAAAATTTTATTCATATTCAGTAAAATATAATGGTTGGGTAGAATGATGAAATTTATAATGTACCTGAAGTACACCAAAAGTGTTGTAAAGTGTTGTGTCTTTGTTTCATATATAGAACTGTATCATATCTGCTAGAGAATTATCGAGAAACAAACAATAAATATCAAATAATGAAAATTTAAAAATACTAATTTTTCGAATAAGAACAGAATATACAACTTTTTTCAATTTTTAAAGGTTTATTTGGATGTTATTACTGAAATATCCTTCTGCAAAAATTATCAATGAAATAATTTCCAGTGGATTTCAAACTACCCTATTCTTATTATGGTGAGGTGAATGGGTTCATATGATATTTTCATTTGGTTTCAACTGTGGAAGTTCATAAATACATTTGATGGATTTATTCCAATGTTTTATCAACGGTTTAAAGTCTCGATATGGAAATTGAATATTTCAATCGCGAATATATTAAACTATAATATATGTTCATTAAATATTTACCATTGATATGATTTAATATTCTATGAAGAATACCAATAATGATGAATAATTGGTAGATTTATTATGAACTTAAGTACTTGTATACTTTATTGAATCGATGCCAGATCCACAATGAATAATCGTTCGCAAATAGCTCAATTGGCCCTTTCAATTTCAACAAAGAAATTAAATTAATATTATTCAAAAATAAGTATTGTTTCAGAATCTAGCCATTTCCTATAAAACACTCATGATTTCTATAATATTTGTTTCCATCAGTAAAATTAAATGGCCAATAGATGAGATACGGTGAAACGTTATGTGACGTTGCGAACCGAAATCTTGTTCAAAATCTTTCAAAAAATCAAACGTCTCTAGAGTTATAGCAAAATATACAGGGTGTAACTAAATAAGCGTGAAACATTCAAGTGTCTTCTTGTACAAAACGTCAGGTTAATTTCAATATTGTAACTTCCTCAGTGCTTGTGAAAACAATTGTTATATAAATTTCAAGTACCCCCTTTAGGGGGCTGTAACTTATCAAGGGATGCTCCAATGAAGTTTCTTTATATGAAAGATCCTATCTTTTTTTCGATGAGGAATCACCTCCTTGAATGTTTTACACTTATTCAGTTACACCCTGTATTTACGAAGTTGTATATTGTTCTCAATAGAAATGTATCAATACCTCACATGTTTCAGAGTTTCACATTTGTCAAATGCCCATTAAATCACAATATAGGATGATATGTTACATTTGCAAACTTTCGATAATAGGCGATATTGAAATATCTAATGAATATAAATTTGGGAGAGCTTTGGGAGAATTCTTCTCTGCAAAAGCTGATTTCAAATATGTATTTCAAAGAATGAAGATTACTATTATTATAATCGATAGATGAGGGCTTTAGTACATCAATAATTCAGGAAAATAAGCTCCGTGAAACAACTACAATAAATAGACCCGAATAAGAAAAGAGAGCATTAGAAATATTTTCTTGAATATGTATCACTTTATATTCATTTCATACTCTCACTTCCAGATCGGTTTTTTCTCTGAAGATAACAATTTCATAGTATTCATTACCCCAAGTTGGCCCATTTTTTTCACATGCTGCTTACATAAAATATGCCAACGTGAACACATTGTTTGAAAATCGTTTAGAAGAACAGCGTTCATTACAAAACTTTCTAGCAGCACCATTCCTAATATCCTATATTATCAACATTGAAAGTAATGCTATTGTTTGTAAACGATACGAGTTATCGAACAAAGTTGGAAAAAACTTTTTAACGCTGTTATTATAGACCCATTGTCGAAGTATTAATGTAAACTGTTCCTGAACTTTGGAGATAATAGTTGATTATGGAAATATGGTTAATATTCAGATCAGGATAAAATGCATCAATTAAATGACCTCAAATTTGGAAAATTAGTTCAGTGAGAGTGTATCCGACAAATGAATATTTTTCAAAAAGTTGAAATTTTTTTCAGGGGGGAAACCCATATTTTCCAAGAAACATTACTATAACTCATTGAACTCGTCCAATGCTAATCGTTATCACACTTGAGAAGATTGGAAAGAAACGAAATTGTATCAATTAGGAGAGGAGGTTATATGTGTATACTGATACATAAGTAGTAGATATATCAGATGTGTGAAACAGTTAGTGATTACGGTTATGTGTACTGTATATGTATGTATATATTTTGTTTGTTCGTTCTAGCATCATCGCATACAAGTATCTTGCATACTTTCGTGATGTTTTCAATGTTTACTCTTTATTATTCATGTAACACCCACTTCGTTGGTGAAACGCGCGTCGTGAAGAGTATTGCATTTCTGGTGATTGGATAAAGTGAACTCATTTTCATTTCGACTGTTTTCTGAAAAAAAATTCTGTTGCATTTAGATGCTTTATTATAACCATAAAAACATATTTAACGTTGGTGTTATAGTTATTACGTGAACAAACTACATGACATTCCATACCAGTCAAAACCTCAATTTGCCTGCCTTGAACCTGAACCTATGCGGTATCTCTATCGAACCCTGTACCACTATTAAATTCTTGGGCATTTCTCTTGACAACGACCTTACTTTTAAAACACACTGCAAAAGTCTCACCGGCTCACTGAACTCTAGATGCTATCAAATTATAAGGAAAGGAAGAAAAAGAAGAATCATTTCAAAGGTGCTGCTTTGTTACCTCCTCTTCATGAAAGAGGACATATGCCTCATCACTCACAAGCGATCTTGGTGAAACTGGGGACACGTGTGAATTGTATTCATGCCACGTGCCACTGTATAGGTATCTGCAATATGCCCCACTGTGATTTCAAAGTGCATATAGATTATAACAAGCAGCCACATTGTCTGCTGCATAGTTGCTCATATCTAATCCATCTGAAGAAAAGTCAATGGAAACATTCAATTTGTCTCTGAATCTTTCCGTTGGAGAGAATCTTTTTGAATGAATTACTGAAATACGGGGAAACGTATAGATTGATGAGGATTTTGTACATTTTCTTCTTTCCTTGCACCTCGAACACATTGGTTTTTCATCTCCATCCAGAATTTCCTCTCACGTGAAGGTATCCAAGGAATGTGACAAACTCAATTGGTCAGTTCTTTGTGGTAAATTGTCTACAATCTTAGAGTTGTTCATATTCAAATATCTCAGCCAGGAATCTTGTGTTTTTCCACTGTCGCTCTATTTTATTGTCTATCTTCGTTAAGATCGGTTCAGGTTTCTCAACAGGTGTTTCCAATATTTTTCAACCCATTAAACCTAAGAGTTCTGATTGAAGAATGTAGCACCGATATAATATTGTAACTGTTGATACTACGTTCGTCACTACTATCTTCGTCTGTGTATTCACGGATACGATGTTTCATCCCTTCATTGGATCGGTGGTATGAGGAATTCGAAGCTGAACTGCTCAAACCTAAATTGAATATAAGTTCTTTTGGGGACTGTGAGGGCTCTGCCAGAAGACTGAAACTTAGCCACATTCAGAGTTTTCACTTCCTCTTCTGTCAAAGCTTGACAGTTTTGCTGCGAGTCTTCCACCATACGGCACAACTCTAGTTCTTGCACTGTCTGTAAATATTCGTTGCGTTGCGTAAAAACATGAGAATTGGATAGCGGCATCGAAGAAAGAGATTTGTGATAGATAATGCTCGATTGGGGATGACGGTAGGATAGGATTGGCCGTACCATTATAGGTAGATGCTGATATATTTTGTTCCTGGAAAACATAGATAATTCATTTAGTGTTTTCGATTGAGGGATTGTACCTGAACATGAATGAGAATCAAAAAAAAGGTAGCTCTTCGGTCATTCGTCTCTTTGGAGATCCAAATGCCTATTTCATGAATGAACTCCATTACTTGGGGGCCTAAGGTATTAAATGTTTCGATTCCTATAGCTGAAAAAAATGAAAATATTTGCCAAATAATTGTATTTCCGTCTTTTTGATAATTCCGCTAAGCTGTTGCACCGCTGGATACAGAAGTCGAAGGAACGTGACAAGGAGCGAAAGTATCGACGCAGGTGAAATCCCAGACAACCCGTTTTCCTCTCCGCCAAGGAATGAGAGTCATGGCATCTCTGGTCGTTTCCCATCATTGCTGCAAGTGCCTGGGAGTTCTTAGATGGAAGAAATATTTGCCGAACTTAAGGCACGTTTGATGACATCATTTATAGTTTGATGACGGAAAAAGCGCCCGGCGCTATATCTACAACTCAGTCCATAATATTATCGGGTGTCTACTTCCACTCCACATTTGCATTTGTGTTGAACAGAACTATTGAAATCTAGTCGAAGACCTACAGCAACTCTAAAATATTCATTGTCCAATAATGTACCAAGGGATGAAACTGATGAGGTATTCAACCAAGCGCCTGTATGTTTTGACGACACTGCTTCCATACGTGCCTTTTCTATAGGAGATTTAGCCAAGTCTAACAAATTATTCAAGTCATTTTTTACCAGAAGAATATCCCAGGTATGTTGAACATTTTTCTGGTACTTGGTACTTCTAGATAAGTTCGTGAGATCCATAGTTGTTCGGCCTCCCTCAAATTGTTATCCGATGAAAAGGAGGGTGGTAAAATTGAATCTGTCTGGTTACACTATAACTTGAAGAGAGGAATGCAGGTAGTGACAGATCAGTGATTGTACGAATGCCTAAAACTCCATAAGATACAGAAAGAGTAGCCTAATGCCATGCATTGCTCTCCAATATATCAATATCAAAATAATTTTGTCCCGATTTCAAAATGTTTTTGATTTTGGAAAATATTGTTACGTTTTTCCCCCGTGGGTCACCAATAATTGACTACATTGAATAATGAAACCTAATTTTATTTCACTTGAAATACAACAAAGACTTCAACTAAAAATTTCAACTATTATCTTAATGTCTATCGCCTTACTAGATCACTTCGCGTACCGCACTGTACCGTACACTAGACTGTCTGAATGTCTATCGCATTACTTGATCACTTCGCTTATCGCACTGAATCTTCCAGTTCACTGTGTACTTGACTCCCGGATTACGCTTGCAGCCAGTGTTTAAATATCGCAATCGAACATCGTAGAATTTTCGCCGAAGTTCCATCGACATCGGTAGCACATTTCTTGCTGCTTCTCGAGCGGCAGGTAACATTGGATATTCCCACGCTCTCAGCTACGTCACGTTTGGTTTATGGTTACCAGTGGCGGCCGGCGTTATTTCCTTTTGAGTATAATTTACAATAATATATTAAAACGGAAATTTAAAAAATCATCAAAATTGAAGCCTTTCTGATGACTTCCAAGAAAATGTCTCCGTTGATTCGACTAAAAACCAAATGAATATTAAAAGCATATGACTAATATTCAGTGTCATTTGTGTGTTTCACATTCTCTAGTTTTCAGTTACTGGAAGTTGAGACCACCACAATTTTTCAAACAATTTCTATAAATGCACCCAGTGACATTTTTTGGGTAATTTTAGATGGTATATCATTTCAAGTTGCCTCATTACAACTAGAAAGTTGTGAAATAAAATTTTTGGTTTTCTACCTCTCCTTATTCATGAAAGCAGTTATTTGAAAAATATTATTTTTTTCGTTTAATTCAATATTCATATGGAAGTAGTTGCTCCGAGAGGGCTTTTTTCTAGTTTGAGTAGAAAGGTACTCTTTTGCATAATTTACACATCTTAGAGAAAAGAGTTTAGTTTAAAATCGACTGCTCTCTTTCTTTCTTCAAAAAATTCCCTCATTTTTGTTGTGAAGATGGAGAAATTATTCCGTAATTATTTCCTTCATTTTCAATTTGTATGAAAATATTGTATTGGTAATTAACTTCCCAAAAAGCAATATTTTTCCTTTTTTAACACAGTCATGTGCTTGGACTGAACTATGAACGAGTATAAATAATTCATTCTGATGATTGATTCGTTCGTGCAGATAATATTGATTTGCCAACCATCATTGCACAAAATACAAACTGCTCTTCCGATATGATTACGAGCTTGATCTTGTAACATGATAAAATATCCTATTTTCTCGACTTTCTTCTCCTTTTCAATTTTCAAGAAGAACATTCAGTGGATGAGTTATTGAGAAATATCTGACATCAGGAAGTATGTTTCAGTATTTTTTATTTTCATCACCAAGTAATTCAGTTATTGAACGGTTTGCCATATCCTGTTCATTATACAATGAAACAGCCTGTCAGCTACAATCCTTAAAACACCGTCCTCGATATAATATATACCTGTCGACCGCAATGTTTGAAAAAAAAATTATTGATTGTTAAAGGTTTCTCTTTGATTCGACATCATATTTTCTAATCCAACATATTACTTTTCAGACAACTTTTCATTCATGATAGTGTGATCAAATGATTATTGCAAATTATTATTGTTATTGCTAACTTCTTCGTTATCGAAGATACGACTTCAGTTGAATCGGTTAACAGTTAACAACGATTATGGTAGAAATATTAGCAATAGTGATTTTTATCATACAAATGCTCCTTGAATACAGAATGAAAAATGTTTTTATTCACCTTTTTTGTCAATGAAAGTAGCGAAAATTGAATTATAATATTTCTGAGTGTTCAACAACTAATATAAGCATGTAGTTATGAAAATGAAAATCTGTTTTATATTGTAATTCTACTGAATATGTCTAAATCTGCTTCATCTTCTGGATTGGACAGTATATATTTCATGTTGTCCCGAAAATATTCTACTCATCTTCTGATAATTCATCAATGTGATTTCAGTTGAAAATTATTTAACATTTTCACCGAAGAGCTCTCAAAGGAATAGAAATAAGTATAAGAAAGTATAATACTCAGAAAACAGTACTTACTATGAACAGTCAACATATGAGTCTGCACGATATCCTTATTCCTTTGTGCGTGGCAGGTATAATTTCCTGCATGCTGTAGCTGAATCCTAGTGAGATATAAGCTTCCGTCTCCGAATACTCGAACATCCTCCTCGTTGAGCGAAGCTAAGTCGATGTGATTTCTCCTCCACACTATGGGAGGAACCGGGGATCCTGTTACGTCACACTTTATTTCAACGTTATCACCCACTCTGGCTGAAAGATGATTGGTCTCGAGGGCTTTATCCAGAGAAACGACGTATACGCCTAGAACAGATTCTGTAGTTCATTTTTGGATTGCATCATATATCTATAATTTCGATAGGAATATTTAAAGAAAATGAATGGGAATGAGCCGATCAAAGCTATAAACTTCGACTTGAAATTCTATAGTTCAGAATCATTGTAAATGAGACAATACTATGAATAATAACTGATAGAACTTGAATTTATCAGGAGGCTTTCAATATAACTGGTGTTTCTTCCCAACATCAAACCGTTATTTTAACACCTCGACACGTGTTTCAACCGCCAAGTGATCATCTTCAAAAGAAAGATCAAATAGTCTGATTTTCCTCTTGAAGATGATCTCTTGGTGATCGAAACACATGTCGAGGTGTTGAAATAACATTTTGGTTTTGGGAAAAAACTCCAGTAATATTCATTGCTATACCAAAGGTTCCAAACAGTGCATCATAAGTAGGGGGCTTTCAGTTTTTTGCCATAAAGTTCCAGAAACTGTTATTCTACTACGGAAAAACAGGCAATAGGAATAATTAAAATAAATGAGTTAACAATCACAATCATTAACTGTTTCATATTTTAGTTTTTTGTTTATCTTGCATCGGTTTAGTTTATTTCCTTTTTTTTTCGTTGTCGAATTGAAATATTTCAAATATTTTCTCTCATTTCAAAATGTTCAAACTCTGATAATTGTAAACTCTATTGTCAGAAAATGTGATAACTGAAACTAGGAAAACCGAAAGAAAAAACTCGAAGAAAAAATAAAAATGAAATGAATTGAATATTGATATTATTGAAGATACTGAAAAAATGGGAAAATCAAAATTGTAAGAACTACGATTTTGATAGAATATGAATTATCACAAGGATTGAACACTAAGTGGAATAACTATTATATGCAAATAATAAAAATGATAGGAACAAATGAAAAAAAAAATAATAAAGATGATATGTTTTTTAAAAAACAGAACCTGAAAACAATTAGATTGTGAATCCTTTCGTGGTAGATTTATAAAATCATACGTATTTATGTCACTTGGTATATTTTAATATTGTAGTACCATATGAGAAAATAAATATTTCGAAATTGAATATAAAAATATTTATCTTTTCCAATTAACCTACACAGTAGATTTTGGTATAGACCTGCCGGAAAACAACTTATTTCACGGCTAATACCACGCTGAACATCGAATTATATCCGACACACATTTATGCAAGATATCTCACAGAAGTTAGTCTTCAGCAGTAGGACCATGCTGAAACGAATCGAGTAGGTCACTAACAGACCGGTTCGAACTATTACCTCTCATCAGTACAGGAAAGATGCGACACAAACAGCAGTTTGCTTGGGATTTCAATGTGTATCGACTGCATGTATGAAAACTTCGTCTAAGAGAAAGATTGTTAACTAATAACAGCTCCATCTGGTGATCAACGCCCCAAGCGTTAAAAACAATTACTGTCTTGGCTAGTAACACGCTGGACATTGAATTATATTCGTTATATTCGACAGACAATTATGCAAGATACCTCACAGAGGTTAGTCTTGCAGATATTTTTCGTTCATCCGGCAGAAGAACCATGATGAAACCAATCTTGTATATCACTTACACACCGGTTTCTAAAAAAGTGCAGGAAAGATCCGGCCTAAACAGCAGTGTGCTTGAGACTCGTTTAATTTTAACGTGGCTCGACTGCATGAATGAAACCTTCGTCTAAAAGAAAGATTGTTAACTAGTAACAGTTATGTATTTATATTAATTTTAAAGGTGAAACATCCGTTATATTGAATTTGTTCGTATAATATATAATAAGAATAGTTTGACAGGGCATTCATCAAAATGGGCTCAATATTACAGGCTCTCTACGAGACATGTGATACACTGTTTGGAACCTTTGGGGTAGTAATGAATATTACTGGAGTTTTTTCCCAACACCAAACCGTTATTTTACCACCTCGATATGTGTTTCAAGAGAAAGTATGACCACTTGGTGATCAAAATTCTTGTCGAGGTGTTGAAGTAACGGTTTGTTGTTGGGAAAAAACTCTCATAATATTCTATATGAGACAAACAATCTGAACCACTGAAGAGTCCAATCAGTCATTAACTTGGCATATTCAAAATCAATGGAAAAAGTTAAATTTCTGTACGTGTGTCACAGAAATATTATTATTTGTAACTGAAGCGTTGTTCAAGTGAATTTTTTCGGATTGGTCTTGTAACCGTTGTTGAGACCAATTTGTTAGATGAAACGCTGCTCTGAGAATTACTTTCCGACAGTGAAAACTTCGCATGATTTTTTGAGAAAAGCTGAAACATGGTTCGTTTCTAATTGCTTGAAACTCAATAAAAACAAAACTCAAAATATTGTTTTTTCAATCAACAATACGATTGCCAACAGTTCAAAAGTTAAACTACTTGGAATTGTTATGGTCAGCGCATATTGAGCACCTAAGTAAAAAAATTAACTCAATTCTCTTCATATTACGGAAATTGAACAAATTTGCTAACCTGACAGCTTTGAAAACAGTCTACTTTGGCTTATTTCACTCTCACATTAATTACGGTGTATGTTAGTTCCAATGTGACTGAGTCCATTCGACCCTCCACCGAAACCTGCAAGGGTTTATTGTGGCTCACACCTATTCACACTCGACCAAAAAACCCAGCTTCTTAACGAAGCCGATTAGTTTGTATGATGACTGGTCTTTCAGGTCAGATGGTAAGAGTACGGGTCTGCCGAACCTGATTCGGTCCCCAGCGGGGAGGCACAAAATATGTGCTCTGCTGTTTCATCATTTATCAAACAGAGGCGATACACACTGTTTTCCGACAGTCCAAGTCTCTGCATATGATGTCACACTGCTTCTACTCGGCGGGAAAGTATTTGGAGGCAGGTGTGAGTTCATGGGAAACTACATAGTGTCATAACAAACACATCACTACACCACATGCCATCGGGGAGCACTATCCACCCAATTTAATTTGAAATAATTAGAAATTAAAGAAATATATAAAATGAAATATATAAAGACGTTTCGTCCTCAGTCGATGACTTTTTCAATTCAATTTCTTATATTTGAACTATAATGGATTTTTATTGTCAGTGATACTTTTATAATAAACCTTATGATACGTACCTAGGCTGCATTGTTGAAATAAAATAAATTTTGACATTTTCCTTCATCATTTATGTGGATGTGGAAATTTTCTTATGTTATGATTTTGTTCTTTTGACTTTTATTTCACTTGTTTTTGTTTTATTCAATTGTTCAATACATTTCAAATCTCAAATTGTAGTCTCTTTTTGAATGTATATTTGAATTTATTTTATTGTATTATGCTATGTCCTGGACCTAGCACAAAAAGATTAATATTCTGTAATGTGGCTGAATAAATGAATGAATATTCAATAGTCTGTGAAGCAAACTATTGAATGCTGGTACTTTCAGCTGAGAGGGATGTGTCGAGGATTTATGTATGATAATGTTCTTATGAGATGTTTTATGAAAAAATATTCAATGATAGTTGTCAAGTCTAGAAAAATCAATAAATTATTATCTCGATTTCAGGAGACTGAAAATGAAGGCAATTACAAATTTGACAAACTTGCCCGACTATCAAATTGAACCAGTAAAACAGTATAAAAAACAAGTGATCAACCGATCATTATAGACTTTATACTCAAAGTAAGCCATGAAAATTTCACCTAATAAAGGACTCAAATGGATTTTTCATTATTAGTCACTCACGTCATGCATTAAACTTTTCAATTTAATGTGAAAAATTTTGATATAGATAGATGAGAGACTCTAGAATTGCCTATTTTACGACAGTATAAAAATGGTTTCTGTCTAATACATGCTCAGTTAGCTCAATTGTACCCAGTTATTATCAGGAATATTTATATTATCGATGTATATTATTATTATTTCCTGATTATCAATAATTCATTTGTACTGACACTTCATCCATTGTATTATATATCCATTATCTAATCTCATATTTAACAAAAAAATATTGAAAATAACAAAGTGAATATCGTAAGAGAAGAAGGTGGTGGATTTCTCTTCCTCATATTTATTCCATCTTCAGGTCCATGAAGGAAAGCAAAGAAGATTTATTATAATTTATAGACACAAGATGATCATTGGAAGGATCGAGGACGACTTATAAATCACGATTGAATTTTATATTATTTAAATGCATAAAAAAATTGCGTGTCATCAGCAAACATGTGGTAATTGCAATATGTCAGATGATTATGTAAATTGGAGGTATACAATGTACACAAAAGTGGTCCCAATGCAGTACCTTGTGGAACCACTTGGCGAATCACCATGCTATTTAATACCTAGTTTTTTATTTTACAGAAGATCTGGTCTGAAGTAGCATTATAATTACAGTTTCAAGAAATGAGATTTTTGAGAGAATCTTGGAAGTGGTTAATCAAATATTCTACATTCCTGACTCAATTGATACTTATTGAATGGATATGTGGAATATTTCTCAAAGGACTTGTTACGAAACTAAAAATAATAAAGTTCTCTAAGATATTCGAAATAAAAAAAGATATTTTCACTATATCACTTATGAATGAGGACTTGAAAAGAGATATTCAACTTATGAAACACACATAGCCTAAAAATAATCTACTCTACATTTACAGTATTCGAATCATACACACATTCTGAATAATTTTTGAAAGATTAATTTTTCGAGTTGAAATCGAAAAGAAATTCATAAGAGCTCATAATTCATCTGAATGAAATCTTTCAAGGTGCAATTATGACGAGAATATTCCTAAAAAGTCTACCCTTTTCATTTAATTCCTAAAAAGAATTGGACCTTCATCTGTTCCATTTACTTGCAATAAAAATGCGGTTGGAGAGATCTGACATATTTTATGTTAAACACACAAAACAAAACCGATTGATTGGTTCTTCTTGTTCATACGAACGTAAGAAGATTCAATCTACATTTTCTTTGGAGGGTTGGATTTGAGAGGACGTCGAATGTTTTCGTATACCGGGTGTCCCACATTTTATGTGACAGGCAATATCTGGTTTGTTGAAGGAGATACACAAAAATGTTTCATACAAAAGTTTTAGGAGTTCATGAGAGCTATATTTTGATATAAGTTTCAAATATACAGGGTGTTTGGTGTAGGTGCTACAGACCAAAATTCCATTTTTTGAAATAGAACGCCCTGTATATCATTACATATTCAGATGCTACCTTAAATTCTGATATCATTTCATGTTTGGTTTTTGAAATTTGGTTACGGCGTTGTTTGAGGGATTAAGTTTCTTTCATAGAAGAATAACTGAATGGCTATTTTGCTTCAATGGAAAATGATCATTCGATGAAATATAAAATTCTTTTCTGAACGATTTAACACAAGTGACTCTATACTTTCAAAATAACACTGTAGGAGCCATTTTATTCAATATATCGGTACTATGGCGTTATTTATTGCCAAATAATTTTTGTTATGGAAGACGAAAGACGATGTTTGCAATTTTTCAAATAGAATTCACATACTTTTCATTGATTTTTTCTAATACTACTATTACTTCATTTATGTCAATAATCCTAATAGGAAGTAATAGTTGTCAAACTTAGCATTGGAGTGTACCTTTTGTGCTACACAAAGAAAGGTAAAGATTCCATGATGTTCATTTTTCTGTGCCACGGAGAAAACGAAAAAAACTTCCAACTTCATCTCATTATTAGTTGTTTCAAAACATTTGTCCGTTTTAATATCATGTGTTTTTGTAGCTTCATATCTCAATAAATATTTATTCTAATGTGTCATGTTATATACTTTTTTTTTTTTTGATTGATAGAAAATTCTGTTGAAGCTGTTCATTTTTTACAAATTTTAATTTTTTGCATCTTTTCAGTTTATCAGTTTTGAACAATTTTTCTCTATGAATTCAAATTGAACCATAGCGCGGCCAAAACAGCCCGAAAAATTAATTCGGCATTTGTCATTTTAGCCTCAAAGATGAGAATCGAAGTTGTCGACAGTAGAGGGGATACGAGAGTTCTATTACGTATTCCCTAGGGGACGTACTTACGGTAGTGAGTGGGAAAGAGATGTGTGCGACGTGATCGACGCATAGAAGGATGGAATGAGCATCGAATAGATTCATTTGATAGATAACGGCTTGGTGGAATTACAAAAATAACTGTATAATATTAATAATGAACGAAAAATCGGATTAAAGAAAAAAAAACATGGCCACGGGCGTTAAAGAAAAAAAACATGTTTGCCAAAGTAATAGAAAAAAACATGTAAGGGGTGTCTCAAATACGTCAGCGTGGAAAATAATGGTATAATAATAATAATGAACGAAAAATCGGATTAAAGAAAAAAACATGGCCACGGGCGTTAAAGAAAAAAACATGGCTGCCAACGTAATAGAAAAAAAACATGACGCCAATGTGTACAGGGTGTCTCAAAATACGTCTTTTTAAAAACATGACATTTAACGAGGCTCTATCGTTTTGGCGTGCGATTCTTCAATGTGTACAGGGTGTCTCAACTGAAATAAAAACATGCCAGGTGGGGGCCTAACGTTCTAGCGTGCGATCCCAATGGAAAACGTTTGAAAATGGGGCAATGGGGGTATTCAGCAATGACATTTCAAAATACGTCAGATGCGTTTTTTCGTGTTAGTTGGGAAATGGGGGAGTGGGGGTAAAGAAAACACGCGGGATGGTGATATTATTTTTTTCGAAAAATGTTAATGTCGTTAAACAGTTGAAATATTTAGTGATGAAATGATATCTGAAGAATACAGACGGAAAGTTGGAGAGTTTTGTAAACATGTTGAAGAATTAAAGAAAGCCATTCAATTTTTCGAATAAAAAAAGATTGTTTTGGATAGGTTAGATAATTCAAATATTCAAGAAAGAGTGTTCGATCGAGAAGTGCCTCAAACGAGATATGGGCTGCGAAGAATTCAACCTCACAACGTAGATTATGTCGCCGCCAATGCTGAGATTAGATTTTGTGATTTTAACTGCAATAATAAATAACATTTTGTATGTGAACGTACCGAAGGGCGTTAAATTCATGCCAATTTGTGTGAAGCTCAATAATTTTGATCATGGATTCAATAGAACACAATGGAAATTGATGAGTTGACATTTATCAATGACGACCAATTGGCAGTTTTTGCAAGCAAAGTCCCGAAAAATACCTCCTTCAAATATAAACTGAGGCTGATATTCCACGATGTTCGAAAAATTGATACAAAAACTGTCGAATTCATTCCAGAACACGCAAGGCTAACCAAAAAGAACTCACAAATGGAATTTGACCTTCATAGAATTCTCATTATAGTATCTACGATATTAGCTTGTATTTTGATTACAGTTTTTCAAGAAATAATTATGAAACTGAATGAAATATGTATAATTTGGTTCAAATGATGAATATTTGAATATTCACAAATATTCGTTTTATTTCACATTTCGAGTCGAGGATGAAATATGATATGGTGAAGTGTGAGGCAGATGCTTGCTACGGTTAGTGGGCCATTTGCATGAAAACGGTTACCTCATCAGTTGTAACTGTGCTTCTTTTGCGTTTGTGTGTGCATTACCTTCAATAAAAAGATGTAAGTAAGAAATTTGTCTTGAAAACAATGTCTTATCATGTATTTTATTTGCTAAACTCAGTGAAATGATTCAAACTGAAGAGCTTTCAAAACTTTTGTTCAAAATTGTGTAGTACAGTGTTGGCTTAATCAAAAAATTTCATTTTTCATTTTAAAACCAAAATATTTCGTTTTCCAAAATTTGTGTGTGTGTGTGTGTGTGTGTGTGTGTGTGTGTGTGTGTGTGTGTGTGTGTGTGTGTGTGTGTGTGTGTGTGTGTGTGTGTGTGTGTGTGTGTGTGTGTGTGTGTGTGTGTGTGTGTGTGTGTGTGTGTGTGTGTGTGTGTGTGTGTGTGTGTGTGTGTGTGTGTGTGTGTGTGTGTGTGTGTGTGTGTGTGTGTGTGTGTGTGTGTGTGTGTGTGTGTGTGTGTGTGTGTGTGTGTGTGTGTGTGTGTGTGTGTGTGTGTGTGTGTGTGTGTACGTATTTATAATTATTTCAGAAAGTCTTCAAAACTTTTGGTCAAAATTGCGTGTGTGTAATCGAAAAATTTCATTTTCATTTCGAAACCGAAAGATTTCGTTTTCCAAGGTGTTTGTAAGTATTGAAGTATTCAAAATTTTTGTTCAAAACTGTGTGTGCGTTTTTGCAAATATCTCGTTTTCTGTAAAATGTTTGCTCAAAATTGTGTGTGTGTAATCGAAAAATTCCATTTTTCATTAAATAACCAAAATATTTCGTTTTCCGTAGAATGATATCAAAATTTTTGTTCAAAATTGTGTACTACAGTGTTGGTGTAATCGAAAAATTTCATTTTTCATTTCAAAACCGGAATATTTTGTTTTCCAAGGTGTTTGTACGTACTTATAATAATTTCAGAATGTATTCAAAATTTCTGTTTGAAACTGTGTGTGTGTTTTTGCAAATAAAAATTTCATCTTCTCTCAATTCGAAATATCTCATTTTCCGTAAAATATTTTCAAAATTTTTGCTCAAAATTGTGTCATCGAAAAAAAAAATCATTTTCTCTCAATTCGAAATATTTCGTTTTCTGTAACATGTTTTCAAAATTTTTGTTTAAAATTGCATGTTTTTGTGCAGATAAAAAATTTCATTTTCATTTCAAAACCAAAATATTTCGTTTTCCAAGATGTCTGTACGTACTTATAATTATTTCGGACAGTCTTCAAAATTTTGCTCAAAATTGTGTGTTTTTCATTTCAAAACCAAAATATTTCGTTTTCCGTAAGAAGTTTTTTGAATTTTCATTCTAAATTGCGTGTGTTTGTGCAAAAAAAATTTCATTTTCTCTCATTTCTTTTGTAGACACAGAGAATAAGAAACCTATTCCGCTAGGAGAGCCGCAGAAAATTTTCTCAGCTCGAATCGTACAGACGAAATTTGGAAAGACTGCTCGAGTTGGAGAAACATATAACGTTTCTACCGCAGAGAATAACAAAGACCTACGAGGGATTCATAAATCATTTCGAAAAAAAAAGTACGCCATCGTGTTCAAAGGGCTGATCAATACGGGGAAAGCCAATCCTGCAACATCTTTCCAAATTGTAGAAAATTGAGGTTAGTTTTGTTGTTTTTCATTTGTTTTTCTTTGTAGGTAGTAAGATGTGCGATTTGCAATTGATTTTTCTACCGAGTAGTACTTCGAACTTCCGTTTGCAGCATTCAGCAAGCATTCATTTGTGTATTCGACGCAGGAAAAACTTTTTTGTAAGTT